AGTCCAAAAGGAGCCGCCTGCGTCCGCAGACTCACGCCGCACAGCACGTAGACGTGGACGTGTTCAGTCCACGTACGTCAGTCACACGACAGCCCGCCGAAAAAAAGTTACGGTCGGGCTGAAATTCAGGGCTGGTATTTGGGATCACAAAACGGCAAACACGTCAGAGGCCATCTTGAATCACTCTACGTCATCAGATACCCGCACGTGATGCGGGGCCGCGAGATCGCGACTGTGCAAAAGTGTACTTGCCAGTGCAGTCTTTGACCTAGCTGCAAGAGCAAGTGCTAGTTTTTTTATTTTTTGGTGGTGCTTGAACTAGTTCGAACTGCTTCCCTTCGACTTTCTTTGACAGAGCGGGTGCTGTTAGGGTTTCCTGTTGTCAGTTTGTATCCACCACCGGTCTTGTATGTCAGTGCTTGTACAAGGAGGTGTTCAGTAGTTATTTTCAGTCCGCGCCATGGGTCGCATCCAGGGTAGGAAAAAGTCGCACTCTGACCGGCTTGATTATCCCGAGTCGAGAAAGAAGCGAACTAGTGGCCAGTTCGGCTCAGTATCATGGCCAGCTGGACGTAGATCAGATCGCCCAGAGGTCGAACAAACCGACAGTAGTCCTGAAATCCTTACCTCGCAGAACATTGACGATGTGGAGCGCGGTGTTCAAGAACAAGGAACCATGGTAATAATTGGATTCGCTCCAGAAAAATTATTCTCGTGGTTCCCGGTTCCTTTCCCAATATTTCCTATGGTCTGGATACGTGCATCACGCTGAAGCCTAGATGAATCAGATTGTAAGTCAGTCTTCTCTCTAGCTCAAGATTTTACGAACATGTTATCAGTGAACAATAAAAGAAAAGGACACAGTGCAACAAATGGAAAATGCACGTCTCCTTCTTTTCCTTGCCGTGCGCACTGCAGTTCTGACTGGAAGGTGTCTTCCGTTTGTGAAAGAACCAGCGCGAATCGCGCGTGGCGCGGCGTCCTTCAAAACGACACAAGTGAGCTCCACATGAGCCGATTTTGACAATCGATGGCTCAAAATTTTCAGTAGGAGATGCTCCATACTTTGACCGAAGCGAATTTCGCCAAAACGATCCTAGAGGTGGGACACGTTTACCGAGTTTGAGGGTGTTATTTGAGGTCTAAATTGCGAAAATCAAAAAATCCTTCGGTGAATCCCTTTGCCCACATCTGAACTCGGTGCCTGCAAAATCTCAGCCTGCTAGAGAGAACTGTGGCTCACTTGGGTGGATTTGAACAGGCCAGAGTCGACGCGAAGTACGGCAAGATTCCCTGTACACAGCATGGTGTGACACATGTCACGTGAACCAAAATGGCGCCCACGTGTTTCTGTACAAGTACTAGCCCTGAAATTGTACGGTCGGTCGGGTGAGTCGAACCACACACCTTCTTTAGTTTGGCCTAGTTCAATAAATCCATCTGGCATATTACTTGTAAGTCTACCGGTATTAGCAAGAGTACGTACCCCAAGGGGTTATATTTAGAAAAGCGATCCTGTCAGCTTTTCTATTATTGTGTTCACATGGCGCTACCTAACGACACCGCTATTCAGACACGTTGTCTACGTAGCTACGTAAGTTTCTACGTAAGATGCTCGGTACCTGGTCCATGGCTCCTACGAGTACCATCGCGCGGCCGGCTGGCCGCATGCGTGTGCATTGCAGACTTTTTGTTGTTGCCTTTTCGGATGTGCATGCACGAGGAACTTCCTTCTTTGGAACTGCTTCTTACATGACCTGTTTCGGATATTTCATCTCCTGGCCTGGCTTATTTCGTTTCGGCGCTGCGGAGACCTCCTTTCGCGGAATATTACTCAATGACAGGTGAGTTGACCAGTTCCCTTTGATTCATTTGCTTGTGTTGACTCTTTCATTTACGAAACGTGTGCTGATTTTGGGCGGAATGCAATAAATAATGGAAAAGCTGACAGGATCTCCTTTCTCACAATTTAGCTTTTCCGCAGCCGAGGCCTCCTTTTACGGAATACTCAATGACAGGTGATCTCTGAGTTGACCAGTTTCCTTCGATTAATTTGCTTATGCTCACCCTTTCATTTACGGAAAAGTGTGCTGATTTTATTCGGATTTAGATCCATTTTTATCTCTTTGCCCTTGTCTACAGTGTGCCAAGAACGCGAGTTCACCTTCTTGACGGTAAGGCTTATGTTAGATGTGTTGTCGAAAGACTCATATTCATTGCACATTAGTACGTTACAAGTAAGGCACTGGTCAGTGGCATACTATCGTTGGCAGTTCGCAATCTAGAGGGAAAGGTTCAAGGACTCATTGACCGAGTTTGCCAAATAAATTCGCATATCAGGGAAAATCTCCATTGTGGAGAGGTTCAGTAACTTGTTTGCTTCATACAAAACAAGGCAATGGGTGCAGTCTCGTCTCGTGAAAATCTCCTACTTGTATGTTTGGATTTGTTTACTCGAGTCTGGGCTGTTTGATTTGTGAGTACCGCCGAGATTGCACTGCCCCAAATAAAGTTTCGTGCCGCCAAAGCAAGAATTACGATCTGCAATCTGTTTGTAGTACCTGCAAGAATGTGCAGTACATGTATCGTACTTTCTCTGTTGCTGTTTCAGTTGCCGTCATGTTGCTAAAGAAAGGTTCAGTAGAGAGGTTCTGCAAAACGAAAATTCGAACGAATTTTTGCGACAGTCCTTGCGAAAGTGTGTACGAATTTTTGCACGAACTTTGCGTTCTGCACATTTTCGTAGTTTGCGCGGGCCAAGTGCACGTACGCCAAGATGACCCGATCTCACGAAATTTCCTACGACAGTTCATTTGGCGTTCATGTAAGTTTCGCGTCCAAAGTTGCGAAAGTTCGTGCGAAGTTTTGCACTTCATGATGTAGAGCGAAAGTTTGTACGCATTTTCGTTCTGCAGAACCTCTCTAGTGACTCATTTGTTTCATACGAGATGAGTCGGTGTGGCTTAGAATCTTTCACTGTAGAAGAAATCTATTCGTATGTCTATTGGAGAAAAAATTGTATTCATTGGTTATAAAATAGGTTAAGACAAACTCACAGAATAGAATACCATTCATTGGTTATAAAATAGGTTAAGACAAACTCACAGAATAGAATACCATCGGTACCTTGGTGTTCGTCCTAAAGAGGTTCGACTGGATATCATTCATACTCACCAAAAGATGTGTAAGATTTTATTATCATGGAGTGCCTTGTTTATCTCTCAGTATCAGTACCTCCAACCATACTTGTCTTTGTACATACATCTACATCTACTGTTCTTTCAATCAAATGAACCCCTCGATAGACACGTTGCCTTTGGGTCATTTCATAATAATAATAATAATAGCCTTGACCCTTTTATACTCAGGATCAGTGTAGTTCTTGGAACGAGGTGTCGGACTCAGCAATGTATTTGTTTACATTATAATACATGTTTATTGTTCCTCCTTTGCTGTGTTGTTTTAGAAAATCGTGGACTAACAGTTTGAAGTCATTGAACTACTTCCAAAAGTTGGATCGACATCAACAGGATTACGATTTCAGTGCAATATGATGCTGGATGACCTTATCACGATAACCCATGATTATAAACCATTATAAACACAGAATCAACAAAAACATCTGGGACACGCACCTGGCGCATGGCTACATTTCTCAAATAAATCTGATCGAGGGTGGGGAAATCTGAAATATCTGAAAGGCAAGACAATTTATGACAGAGTCATGAAATTCTGCAACAGCAACATGCACAGAATGACCTCCGTATAAAAAAAAGCATCACCACCACTACTCACATGTTTCCCCGCAGAAGAACATGCATTATACTAGTGCCATTTTCTGCAAGAAAAGGCTTGCACATCAATGCGTATAATACGGTATTGATATGATGTGAAGGCCATCATTTACATATTGATATAGGGCATTCCATTGATTGGTGACAGAAAAAAACAAAAGAAATTATAGCAATAAAAACTGCTTTATGGCAGTTTTCTAAAAAAAGTTATTGTGTTCTAGTCCATGGACCTCGTCTAAAAAGTAAGAAATTAACGAAATGTGATAGCTGAAAATTAAAATTTCACACAAAACCTCACAATAATCACACACAGAATTAAAAGCTACATGTAGACGACCTTTTCCCCTCGTGATCCTCTTTCCTATGCATGCATGTTGCCAATTGTTGGTGCAGTACAAGTTTAGTGTTGAAAGCAGCATTTCAAGTGTTGTGATTATTGTGAGGTTTTGTGTGAAATTTTAATTTTCAGCTATCACATTTCGTTAATTTCTTACTTTTTAGACGAGGTCCATGGACTAGAACACAATAACTTTTTTTAGAAAACTGCCATAAAGCAGTTTTTATTGCTATAATACTCTTGGTATTAGCAGTTTCACGTTGCATCAGGCACAATGATGTGCAACTGCAAGTCCCTTTACTACGGCTTTAGCCTAGTTTAGAGTTTTGGCAAAAAAAAAGGAAGCAGAGGATCTAGGAGTGTTATGTGGCTGACATGCGTTTCAAGGCAAGGTTAAGTTTTGCTAGCCCGGACTAGCTGCAAAGTAAGGACTTGGGTGGTGCTGCTGCTGTGCGTAACCGTCGTTGCTTCCAGTATTGTACATGTACTCGTACTTGCATTTGAGACAGCAGAAAGAGCCTCCCGTCTCCTGTGCTTGTGCATTCGCTTTCATAGCCGTGGCAAAAGTTTTTTACTCCACCATCCATTACTCAGCTCAGGCATTAGATCATTCATCTAACAGATGAGAGAAACTGCATGAAGGGTCAAATATTCTTCTTCTTTCCTAGAGTTTGAACGCAAAATTCTGAAAAACATTTCCCTTCAATTTTGAGCATGGTTTTCTAGACCGAATTGAAGTTCTACAGACTACATGTAGTATCCGGGACCTGGCCGGCGGGGTACTCAGGCATTCTTTGAATCGGCGGCACTGACCTTATGCAAGTAAAACATCTACATTCCCGGTATATGCCTTGTTGCGTGTTCTTCAGACCCCAGTACCGATACACTGCCACTGCCAGGGTCCGCGGTGAGCCTTGTGATCAATGGACGCACATACACGGCAACTATCCGCCCAACACACGAGCATGGCCGCGCGGACAGTATCCCTCTTTCACAGCAGGTTTCGGAACGTGATCATGATAACGTAGGCGGTGTGCATGTGCAGCAGAGACTGCATTTGCCATCAGGTGCAAATGGCACCGAAGCTGTCAGCCACACGCAGCAAGCACGGGTCAGTGGCTATGCGAGCCGAAGAGGGAGTGAAAGTCGCTCAAGCGGGCGCAGCAGACTGCCGCCTCCTGTTGCCATCCTGGACAGAGCACAGTCATCTGGACCTGGTGAGTAAATTGCCCTCCGCAGCTGTAGTACAAATGCATAATAAATATTATTGTCTTGATGGGGGGGGGGGGGGGGGTTAGAGCAACAATCTCGCGTCTTCCACGGGCAAATGGCAAACTACAAAGCAATGTTCAACAAAATACGGTACAGAATCTGATGAGTTGGTTGCTCCCAATATTTCATAGGGAGGCAGTATCCGATGCAACCCAATGCAAACAGTAGGCAATAGGAGAGAGCAAGTAGTTGTTACTGGCAGGCCATATGAAACAGTTTCATGTCTTGAGAAAAGAATTCATCAGTAAAGTTAGCCGGATTTGCGACAGCACCACCGGATGTGTTGAGGAACAACACATCAAGCAAAGACGTTTGCATCGGCGGGTCACCACTTCACCTCATATGTCCTGATGTCTCTACCCGTGTATTTTGATACAAAGCTACCCATTCTTTTGTGAGCATGGTGTGATTTCTTCTGCTTTTCATGTTTATACAAAATGTGCTCTTGCCGTAAATTCTAGTACCTTTGCATGGACGGAGAGAATGTTGCACATCTGGCAGTCAGGTGACTGGGGAAGATGAGCACGTCAAGCGCCTCCTGTTTGCTGGTGTCCCTGACGGCACTTGCAAGGAAGCGCTATTCAGCTTAATGCAGCTGTGTTCAGTGGAAGGCATCGCGTCTGTCAGCAATGTCGTGAAGAAGCGAGTTGTTGTCGAGTTCAAGCAAGAAGTCGGTAAGCCATGTGTTCCCAACTGGTGGTCCACAAGCTATGAGGGAAACCCACGGTCACTTTTTAAGTGATCTCGTGATGCTTCGCTTCACCATTAAAAAATAATAATGTTTTTAGTTGAAGGAGGGAACTGACATGGCACATGGATATCATTGAAAATGGTGTTCTTTGTGACTCGCCTTGAATATAATGTTCTGGTACTGCCACATTAATGTTATACGAGTATGCAAGCCTAGCCTGATAGGTAACATGTTCAAGTTTCACAATGACACTCCGGCGTGAACAAGGCGAGGACCCCCTCGCCTTGTTCACGCTGTCATCGTGAAAACACATTAATGTTGTGCTACAACGCAGGACAACTACCTGGTAGTGGTATGTACCGCACAAACAAGCATGCACGTATGCACGCGCGCATACACACACGCACACACACACACACACACACACACACACACACACACACACACACACACACACACACACACTACTACTACTACTACTACTACTACTACTACTACTACTACTACTACTACTACTACTACTACTACTACTACTACTACTACTACTACTACTACTACTATACCATGACTGCCCCATAGGGCCACGTCACTCCCTTGTGACAGGGAGCCAGAGTCAGGGTAAGAGAGTCAATGTTGGCGAGCCACATGCCGGTTGAGATCTCGTGGAAGCCGAAAACGTTTGTTGCAGAACCGGCACTCACAGTCGAAGGTTTCCCTCTGTTTACAAGTAGGGCTACTGCCACGGCTGCATTTGTGCCGCTTGAAACTGGATGGCGAAAACTGCCGTTGGCACATTGAACATTGGAGTTTGCCACTGTCCAGGAGAATCGACTCTCGACTAGACGAGGGCGGGCAAGCTTGGGTGCTGATCGTACTGCGGGTGCACTTGTGGACAGCACGGCCTCCAGCGCTGGCAAACCATCTGCTGCAGATATCGCATTGGAGTGCACCACGCTGGAGATGGATAGGCATCCTCTTCTCAGCGGTACACTTGTGACGAGCCATGTAGTGCGGCTTTGCAAATGTTCTGCGGCATACGGTGCATTCCACGCGAGCAGGTGCTGGCTTCGGTGGAGGTGGTGCATGCACAAACTGGCGCCATTCAGACCTCTCCGAGGCCACGTCAAACCAGTTTGGAAGATGTTGGAGGTCAACACGCAACACGTCCTTCCCGCGCCGACGAGGACTATGGGCAGGCCGGGTCGGCTCCAGGGACCCAAACAAGAGCTGTGGCGGCACACGCTCAGGTTGTAGGCGTACAACATGACCAAACCATTCGAGGTGCCGATGCCGGGTCTTCTCTGATCGCGCAATGGGATCTCCCCAGCGATCTCGCAGCTGCTGTGAGGTGATGTGCTCGTTCCACTGGGCGGTTCTGGACACACCAATGATAGCACGCAAGCATCGATGGTGGAAAGTGTCTATACGCCTGAGGTCGGCTCGTGACACACGCACAAACACACACACACACGCACACACACACACCGTGGCCAAAGATATAATCGTGCATCCAGAAGACTATGAGCGTCCAAACGTTGTGCATGCAAACGCATGTACGAGCTCGTACTCGTTCTATGCATGGTGCATGGATGTGACTAGTTCCAGCTTTGAATTTCTGTGCTCTTATTTTTCGAATACCTTCATATACGTGCCAATGTTTGCTGATAGTCGTAGATCTTTGCCTTTCTCTGCACTAACCAATAGATATCACTGCCACAAGGGAAAGGTGCCGTCAAATCAACGAGACATTTGGGCACAACATCACTGTTGGAACAGTCCCAGCTCCTCGTCATATACTGGTGACCTATCAACTAGAGAGAGAACGTGTAGCAGAGCGGGCAATGGAAGCATTTCAGTGGTTCCAACCCGTTGCATCTAAGATGCAATCATTGTGCTCGGCAATGCTTACTTTTAAAGACGCGGACGGTACGTGTGTAGGTGGATTGTTTCGAATTGCTCCTGCACGGATAATGCAGGGACTGGGTGCATGCAGTGTTTTGGCCGCTAGGCTATTTTCTGTGTTTGTAGCCACGGATGATCACACGTGGGGCGTGCCTGCTTACATTGCCTCACATTCTAAGTTTAACCTGACCAAAGACTGCTGCCCTGGACGTGTGGTTGAAGCAGCTAGGTTGATACACACTACACTGCACAACAGCTTGTCTTCTGACTTGTCAGTACTCAGCATCATTGCGCCATGGTGTCCCCATTCCACCACTGCACCATGCACTCCAATACGTGGCGGAGCAGTGCTCCACAATGAAACTTTTGCTGAGCCTGTGTCGCACACCCATGCCGCAGATGCATGCACCGACCCAGTATTTTGTTGAGTATTAGACTAGCTGATGCATGCCTCACCCTTCCTTTCTATGTCAGTGTTCACTTTGAAGTAAGTAGAATGTGTAGTCAAGTTAATTTTTCATTGGAACTACTGTCGCGGACATGGAAATCCAGTCGATTGACCGGGGCCGGCGCCCTCGGCGCCTACAATTTTAGTACAGAAACGTAAGTGGTTGCATGCAGTGCACAATCATGTTGATCCGATGCGACCAGCAGCAGCGATACGTGCTACGGCTGCATGACCAGCGCCCTGGGGCCCCTAGACGTGCGACCGGATTTCCATGTCCACGACATCGACAGTACATTGTCATGTGCTCTCCATAGGCATGTTTCTTTGCCACGGTCCGCGCTGCATTGTCATTTGCTGTCCAAACACGTGTTTCTCTGTGTGTGCAGTTGCTCGCGACGCTTGCTCAAGTCCGGTAGTCCACCAAAACGGATTGGCGGCCACGCTGCTGTATCAAGGCCTGGACATTCCAACACCCGCAGAAGAGAGGGGAGCGGACACTGAGGCCTGGTTGCCTTCAGATGTTTTCGTACGATTCCAACAGGAGCACACACTGGCCAAGCTTCTTACATTGCCCGACAAATCTCGTTTAATGCCGCTGATAACATCTCTCAACGACGTGCTTGCCGATGCTATCTGCTCCATTACCGAGTATGGTTTCAAGTTCTCACCAACTCGATCTGCGGCGTTCAACCCGATCTGGAAGAAAGCATTAGATGTGGCCATGAAATTCTGGTGGAAGTCTGTCCAGCCTGAGATTGATATTCGTCCTCTGGAAGCACCAGCGGAATACCTGGATTGCATCATCAGTGATGTGAGGACAACGATGGATCTTCCGGCGAATACAGAGATCTATGCCAACGACACCAATGGTACTCTTGAAATCATTAGCATTGGTTCCAAAGTTCTATCAAGAGTCCAGCTGCTCAAACCCAAAATTGAGAAGGCGATTTCTGCATATTCGACACACCAGGACAGCTTGTACGTCGAGACCTGCAAGCTGGATGTGTTGAGGATGACTCAGCGTCTCAACCACATTGAGCAGAGTCACATGGTGATGTTTGACTATAAAAATCAGGTGGAGAACGTGACATCAACGCCCATCACCATCACTGGAGTACGGAAACACATAGAATCAGCAAAGACTGACCTTCAGGCCACAGTCAATGCACTGATTAGAGAGGAGGCACCCTGGACATCAGCCGACCTAGTTGGACTAATGGCGACCGAGTGGGGCATTGAGTATGGCAGAATACACCTCCTCCAGCGACGATGTCCGGGCAAGCTTCAACTCCACAATGGGAAAGTCACGGTGCTTTGTCACAATAAGGATGTGGAAGAAGTTTTCAAAGCGCTTACTGAAGTCGGACAGGCCCTGAAGATTGTGCGAATTCCACTGAACAAGCCACGGATGAGATATCAACAAGACGCTGTTTGCAACTGGGCACATTCCAGCACAAGACGTCTTGTCGGCACTCGCCTGGACACGCACAGCTCGCCACAATCCCTGCTGGTCTTCGGCGAGGCCGAAAGTGTCGACGCATGCTCTGAACGTATCCAGTCTTACCTTGACGGGAAAGTGAACAAGAAATGGACTGTATGCAGGTATGGTCCATGGGATGATGGCTCCTTCAAAGACTATATGTGCTGGACGAAGGAAGCCGTTGGAAAAGCCTTGGTGGCCCAATTCGGCGACACCTCAGTCAATATCCACATCACGGGCGAGTCAGTTGAACTCACCGGTCCTGAGGATGAATTGGAGTTCGTTCGGGCACAGTTTGAGGACAGTAAGGCCCAGTACATGGCTGTGCAAGAGGATGTGACTGAGTACGGTGTTGCTCTTTTCGCACAACCGGGCATCAGAGAACAACTTTCCGACATTGCTCGAAAGAACGACGCGCATCTGCAACTGCAGCTCGTTCCTCGCGCCCCCACAGAGCTGGAAAAATCCAGGGGGAGATCTGACCCTGTTCGTATCAATGCCAATGGAGACGAAAGCCGACATCCAACCATGCCCCAACATGGTGGAGAACGAGTGGACGCTGTCAAGGTCTTACTCAGTGGACGGCCCGACTGTGCTCAGGAAGCCTGGGAAATGATCCTGGACTTCATTCGTATCAAGCTGAGGACATCGGCCACCTATAACACCGAACCTCTCTCCAGTGGTGAGTTGGAGAGGTTTGTGGAAATGGCAGCACAGGCTGGGATGGAAATTTACGTCAACGGTGATTCTACTAGCATCCAGCTCCATGGCCTTTGCGACATTGTTTCTAGCACAGAATTGACACTACAATGTTACCTGAATACAGCACAGCAGCTGAAAACATGTAAGTGTTGGGCCGGACCTCTGGTTAAGATCATTAGTCGAAGTACATTCACATGCCTGAATACGACTTGCTACTGAGTCTTGCCCAATGCATGATAAGTATGGTGTTAAAAATAACAATGATTCAGATTCAAAATCCATTTTTATGTGCTTCAAGTTCCTTTTTCCAGGTCGACACTGCACTTTTTTTCTCACAAATTATCCAGAGGTTTCCCCTCCAGATTTTACCCAGAAAGTACGTTTCTTTCAAGACTTGCCTTACAAATAAATGCGAACTGGCGTGGGACATTCTGCCTCCGAAGAGGGGGAGGGGGGGGGGCGCCAAATTAGGTCCTCTCCTCTATTCTAAATCTTCCCATATGATTCTCTCCCGTGCTTATTTTCCCCCATGCTTATGCTTTCCTCCCAATTTGGTGTGCTTCTGCCATTTGAAGATGCCGAGACATCTGGTCGGTTGAGCATGGTAGGCCCCACCAGCACCATCTCACCCCATGCTAGCCCCATGTGCCTGGTAGTGAGTTGTGTATTTTGTAAAAAAAAAAGAAGGAAAAAAGCAGGAAACTGACGAGCTGGGGCTCCACGAACAATGGGGAATCTAGTCAGGTCTCTCACTTCTTTTCGTCTTCACACAGCTGGACTTTCCCAAAAAGAATTGGTGGCAATGCTCAACCTTCATGATCTTGCCTCTGTTTATGTACAGGCATTCAACTACACAAGAGTTGCTGCATGGGGCAGGACTCCCAGTCTAGGGTCGGTCTTGACGAAGAAGATGACAGGCAAGTAGTGGTTGATGCACGTATGGACCAGGCTACTGGTTCACACGATCTGCTCGGTACAGCGGTTGAACTCAGCCGGCAGGATGCACCCAGTGAAGTCCTTTGTGTGGACTGGCCCACCGCGGCATTGGCAGAAGAGGCTGAGCAGTCACCCTGCACAATTTCTCACGCTGCATCGCACAGAGTTGAGGATATGCCGCTGTGCGGCCAATCGCATCTTGCTCGTCATCCACCACATCCCCCGGCTTGTGAACCGCCAGATCTGTCCGCTCAGTATCCACCTGACCCACGGGTGCCTCGGAGTCTCTCCCGTTGCCAGGCTGCTGAACCCACTGCTACCGGTCCAGCAGCAGCAGCTCCAGCTATTGATCAGACCCAGGTCGGCGGTATACAGGAATCCTGTCCTCAAGATCACCCGCGTGGACGCTATGCATCTATGCAAAGCCTCTTGCCAGCTGCCAAAGTTGCTATTCATCTGCTGCTGCTGGCTTTGGTGTACATGGATACGATTGTGCATATGTGACTGATAACACCAGATTTGCTGTAAGCCAGCCTGTATGGGTAGTTGTGTCACTGATTTTTGTCTCTCTTGGGCTTTGCAATGCAGCCTCTCAGATACCGTTCAGTTACATGCAGTCAACAGAAACCTAATTCTTACGCCTCTGCCATTCTGTCCTGCAGATACGCGCATTCCAGTTGTGACTCATCATTCTGTTGCGACTATGCATTGGCATTGCCTGTGCTCTGTACAAGTACTATACCCAGTCATGCACAGTCATGTACTTACAATGTACACGTGTAGTGTAAGTGGCATTTTAGCAATCACAGAACAGAAGATTTGTTCAATGTACGTCAATTTCAGTACTCTGTCAGTTTTGTGCCTAGTTCAGTAGTTGTTGCACTTTCTGACTGTATTATAGTATCTAGTTACAGTGGTGGAGAGTTACTCTTAACTCATTTCCATAATGTCCTTTTCCTTTCTGCTTTTATTATTGGCTCAATACCCGAGTTTCAAATTTCAATTATACTATGAAATACCAAAGGCGTTATGCCGTCATCAATTATTATCTTGACAAGTGACCCCAGTTTCGCATGTCCCCATGCAATGCACGCACAGGTAGACAGACATAGCCGTAAAAGGTGCACACGAGCAAAGCCATAATATAAGACAAAGTTTCATGTACTCTTGCAAAGTCAAAAGCAATCATTAGTTTGGGGATGTGCGTGAAATGGGGAAGAGAAAACTGACTGTCTCCACCAGGACTCGCACCGTGGGCTTACGCTACAGGCCAACAATGAATGCTCTACCACCCAGCTATGATAGTACACTCGAGTCTCTCTTATCCGGTCAGTATTGGACCGGCCGCTGCCCATAGCTTGGAAATGTCCGTATCTGTGCATCGTTGCTGGAGAAGGGCCAGGTGTCTGGGATATAGGACGTCACGATTTCAACAAAAACTGGGCAAAAGAGCACTTCAAAATAGTGAAACTGAAACTCACCAACATAGTGCCCGGTATACCAAGGTGGCCGTAACTCGGAGGTCCGGATAAGAGAGATATGGAAGAAGAAGAAGCACGTGTCCCCACGGCAAGTGGCTCATGAGGCAACACAATTCTGAACAGAGTGAGTCCTCACGGCAAGTGGCTCATGAGGCAACACAATTCTGAACAGAGTGTGAAGTAGAAAAATATAGCAATGACTTGTACATGTAGCAGCTAGCTGTAACTAGAACCGGGTTAAAGGTTGGATAATTTGGGAAGGATGATCTGTGTCAGCAAAACCGTGTCGTGTATACTCACGTGTGTGTGCAGGAATAAGAGGAGAAATAGCATTTGCAAAGGAGGCTAGTTAGACTGCTGCCCTAGGTAGTCCAGTAAAACACACTGCCCCCCCCCCCCCCCCCCCCCCCCAGGTCTAGCCACACATCGTCCCAAGGAAGCCAGCACAGGAGTCTGAACACTCGCTCAAGGCAGAACAACAGCACTGGTTGAACAAGGGGACTGAGGCTAGCAGAGACACGGCAAACAAGCAACGCCACACGAGCCACCACTCCCGCCAAAACCACCAGCAGCACGGGCAGAGGCAAAATACGACATGTGATAAAAACAGCTCAAGCGTTGGAAATAGAGAAGACACAGCTCAAACAGCCATGTGAAATACCAATACCTGAGAGCAACAACGGCGAGGATGTGATTCGGCCGGCTTGAAGGAATACTGGTAGAGAAGTAAAAATCTGATTGCGTCCTGATCATGAGCATCAGGCTATTCGTCCCCCTGTGTCGAGTCTTCTTCCACAGCTGCTGGTGCTTCTGCTGCTGGTGCTTCTGCTGCTGCTGGTGGGATTTCTCCGCTGAGCTGGTCATCCAGCTGCACATCTCCTCGCTCGTTGGTTGTGCTTACCTCTGCTACATCGCTTGTCTCTGCTGGCTGCTCGGTCATGCCTGTGGCTGTTGGAGCAGCAGGGGCAGCATCAGCGACTTGTTCTGACGTGTCACCGTTGCCATTACCATTCTCAACAGCAGGTGCAGGAGGGGGAGGGTTGTCCTGGACAACAAGGTTTACCTGCTTCCTGGCCGGGTTCAGCTCATAGCAATACGCGCAGCGGAAAGCTGAACACACACACACACACGCGCGCGCGCGCGTGCACACACACGCACGCACGCACAGACACACACACGCACGCACGCACACACACACACACACATCCCATCCCATTACTACCGAATGTACAAATCCAAAGAAAGAAGCAAATAATGCACGTGCATGCAGTACCGATTCTACCTGCATTAACCCTTAAGAGTGCCAATGGTCAAATCACGTTACGAAATTTGCAATAGTGTGGTTACTAATTGTTCGATTTTCCATCATAACATTAGTTGTGCTTCACTGATTTTGGTGATCTTGGTCTTGCTGGAAAGCTCTTGGAGAGAGGAGAACAATGATCCCAAACTCATGAAGAGAATCCGTAACTGTCAGCTGTTACAACTCCAGGAACGTCACAACAACTCCAGGTCAAGTCGCCAAACACGTTCGTCCGGCAATTTCACTTTCCTTCAGTCAAAAATTCACAATTGTGTTCGAGAACATGCTGAACATCCGCGGCCATCCTCTTAGGGAGTGATGTCACACAGGGTAACCCATGTTCTGCGGAAAAACCGTGAAATTCCGTTCAGCGCAAAAGCGTGAAAATTTTCCAAAAGGTCGATCGCACCCGGCTCGCTCAAACTTCATCGTACATGTAGAGAGCTGGGAGTTGTTTGAGCCGACAGCTGAGACTCTCCGCTACTTGCTAGGTCACAAGTAGGTGTTTCGATGTTGAAATTCGGTTGAGATCAATAGACTTAGACTAGATGCTTGAGTGCCGGCCTGTCCACACCCGTCGATATCGACGGGTGTACTCTAAAGGGTTAAAATAGTTAGAAAGACGCGAACCGTAGCGATTGTTTGGCCTGCGACTACCAGTATGTGTATTGGTATGCACTGCAAGTTGTAGTTAGTATACACACATGTGCACATGCGTGTAGGTGTGTGTGTGTGTGTTTCTTATTACCCGGTATGTGTGTTTGCATGAAAGCAGTATAGGCCTGGCCAAGACAGGAAACAAGGTCATGTAAGAAAAGCAACGCCTGTCAGGTCCTGGACTTACTGCTGTACTCGAACTCCGATGGCAATGCCATGCCATTGTGTGAGAAACATTTCCTACAGATGAGTGCGTAGCGGTTGTTAGGCCCATCACCGACTAAGAACTCAACCATCTGCAAGTACACGGACAAGGAGAAGGAAAAAGATGAAGGAAAAAAGCCACGTTAAAACGAGTATACATGTACCACAGGCCTGGCCGGAGAAATCCGACACCTCAGGAATATAATTATAAATAGCACCGGGGCCACGCGGCCCTAGCACCACACACACACACACACACACACACACACACACACACACACACACACACACACACACACACACACACACACACACACACACACACAACACTCTGCTCACTTGAGCACAGTGCTACTTTATCCATGGGGTCGGATTTCTCTGACCAGAACTGTGGTACAGTCAGACCTCGTTTATCCGGTCCTCGTTTATCCGGATCCCTCGCCATCCGGAAGAAAATCGCTGGTTACCGATGTGCAGCATATGTTATGCATACAACATAACCGGACCTCGCGATCCGCATACCGGTGCATGATTTTGTGTACAAACTGGTTAAAATGTGTACAAAATGCTTCGTCGTATCCGGTTGCATGTGGCTGGCTAGCGCTTGCAGAAGCTAGTATCAAGGAGTTGTACAAGCAAATGAGGTCCTTGACCTGCTGGGTGTGTGCGGACAGCACTCAGTTGCATGCACTTGTCATTTTCTCGCTTGTTTTACATAATGCTAGTTGTACTGCATAGGACCTGTCTACATGTACATGTATGTATGATGTCACTGCTTTTGACATGCCACATGCATGTACAGTATGTGCGTTCAGTTATCCGGTTACCTCGCCTATCCGGATATTTTTGTGGAAAACAGATGTGTGCGGTTAAGCGAGGTCTGACTGTACATGCGTACCGAAGTCGAGGTGAACGGGAAATAAAAAGGGATCGTCCCACAAAACAGAGCCTAAGCAAACACCCACGAGACATATCTCCAATCTACATTAAGGGAGGGAGAGATGGAGAGAGGGAGGAAGAGAGAGGAGGAGGAGGAAGAGGAGATAGAGAGAGAGATAGATAGAGAGAGGAGACAGACAGACAGAGGTACGGCCATCCAGACAAAACAACGAGAGAGCAAGCAGGAAAGTTGCAGAAAAAGCTTTCCCTCACCTTGTCGACTGAGGTACGCTCTCTGGGAAGGATAGGCTGTGGTCGCGGTGGACCCGGGGCAGGTCCTGCGACATCACCTATCACATGAACAATGAACAACAAAGCCAGCGTTGAAGATACATCAGGCATGAGTGTCACACATGCACACCCTGCCACCAAGGCTATCATGGCTTACAGCAATCTTGGATCACACTTCTGTTCACTAGACAGTTCCAAGCAAAGAAGGCAGAACAAGATTTTGCTTGTAACTCCACTTCCACACTATGCCATCCTCATTCTAGCTTGCATAGAGATTGAGATGAACTACATCAGTACAATAAAGCAGGTACATGAGAGAGATAGATAGATAGATAGATAGATAGAGAGAGAGAGAGAGGAAGAGTGAGAGTGAGAGAGAGAGAGAGAGAGAGAGGGAGAGAGAGAGAGAGGAAGAGTGAGAGAGTGAGATTGAGAGAGCGAGCGAGAGAGATAGAGAGACAGAAAGAGGGGCGGGGGTTAAGAGAGATTAAGAGGGCAACCTTACTCTACACGACATGTAACTGGACGGGGTAAATGTACTAAATGACATGAAGGACATACCAGGTTTTAGCTCGTACACGGGCAACGGCTCGGGCGCGGTCATGCTGGCTCTGGCGTTCCCGTCACTGGCCATCTGTCTTAGCTGCGCCTGCTGCGCCTGCAGACGTCGGTTCTGGTCGGCTATGACCTGCTGCTGGTGCTGTAGCATCTGTTGCTGCTGCATCACCTGCTGCTGTTGCTGGATGTTCTGCCCGAGGGCTAGCGGCCTTCCACCAGCACCTTCCTGTGGACGTCTTTGACGAACTGAAAATTATTAGACAAGAACAGAGAGATACAGATGTAAGGGGAAAAAGGGGGAAGGTAAGCAACAGCATCCGGCCGTTTTCATTTCGATTTGCATTTGATCACCTAGAGCATCAAGCATGCACTCATCAATGTGCCATTTTCTCAGTATATAAAACTCACTATAAAGTAGGTGTACATGTAGACTTGGACTGGTGGTGTTAGTGGACATTATAGCGTAACTTGCACTTCCTTGGTCCTTTTTCTTTTCTATAAATAAAGTAGGTGCATATTTCTTTGCCAGTCATTCAACAATTCAACCTTCTCTGATGAGATCTCAATGACGCAAACAGCTCTCAGTAGGAATTCATTACTCAGAACCTCTTGCTGTTGTGGGAAGTGTATGTGAGCGGCCGCAGAGCACAACGGCGGTGAAGTCATGTACAGTTGTAGGGAAACGACAACAATACATGAAACCAGAAACTATGGAGTCGGCGTGGCAACATCCAGGTGCTAGCACATGTGTGTTGAAGTACAGCGCTGGCCAGAGAAACCCAACCTCATGAATAAAGTAGCAGCGCATTCGAGCGCACAGACCAGTATATATAGTGTTAGGGCTGCGTAGCGCCCGGCACTATTTTATTCATGAGGTTGGATTTCTTTGTCCAGCACTGTAGATGGGGCCAGGTGGTGACGTGATGAATACGAAACTAAGAAGCCAAACAACTCAAGTGCTGCTTAATAATGAGATCTAATCGTGTGGGTCAAGTACACGCTGGGTACTACCGTGCAGTCCTACACCTGCGAACACTGGGGTGTGAACTGGCGCAAGGCGCAAACTTAACACGCTCGACACGATCGGACTTCCTTGAGCAGCACTGTTACCTACCTCCGCCTGCAGTACTTTCTGCCGGTGCTGCTGCTGCTGCAGCCCGCTGTTGTCGTTGCTGCTGCTGCTGCTGGGCTTGCTGAGGAGCGAATATACACACAGTACAGATAAACATTTGCACACACCTCAGAGACTGAAGGACAAATAGGAAGGTAGCAAATACTCGCAAAAAAACCATAACTGAATTGTGAGCTATAGCCTATATCCCAGCACAGGAAACTGGACACACACCACACACACACACACACACACACACCATTGACCATTTGACGCCCATCGCCAGAGGCGATGATAGGGATGGAACAGCAGAAGCCATAGCAGCTTGTGCTGGGATTGCACCATACACACGCGCGCACACACACACACACACACACACACACACACACACACACACACACACACACACACGCACACACACACACACTGTCTGTCCTGACTGTCCTGAACATTGCCGTTTCCGGTTACATGTCCCCTCGTGTGAGGGGCCGACAGACATGGAGAGTTGGGTTGAGGCGCTGTGTCGCATCAACGACCTAGCGAGATTTCCTAGCCATTTCATTGATCCATTTGTTGCAGTTGTGTAGCTGGAATCCTCGGGTTGACTTGCAACAACGATCGCATTCGCTGCAGTGGGCTCTGCAGCAAGGTAGGGCGAGCCGCTGGCGGGTGTCACACGATGGTCCAGAAGCGATGGTTTGGTCGTGCACTGGAGTAGCAGATGGGGGCATATCCAGGTATTTGTGGACGGCCAGTCCGCCAGGGCTGCGAAACCAGCGAAGACATGCGGTGCATTGCCTGCTGCCAGCCTGGTCTGCTACGGGTTTGCGACGCTCTTCAGTGCACTTGTGGCGTGGCAGGCCGCTCTTTGAGAAGGATCTGTTACACATACTGCACTGAATCCGTTCACGAGAGGCCGGCTGTGGTGGTGAAGCAGTTCTGAATGCTGTGCGCCACTCTCCCCGCTGCTGCGCGGTGTCGAACCAATCTCCTTCCAGATGGAGGTGACGGATATCAGTTCGGACAGCATCACGCCAACGCTTTCGGGGACCACATGCAGGGCGTGTGGGTAGCAGTGACCCGAATAACAGCTGGCGAGGGGTGCGGACACACACACACACGCACGCACGCACACACACACATACACAAACACACACACACACACACACACTTACAGGTACTCTCAGATGAATTGACTGGGGGTCATATTTCTCCAGTAGTTCTTTTGCGGTCTTGAAAGGAACCTCATCCATCACTCGACTCAGCTGAAAAAGAGAAAAAGGGAGGGAATCAATACCGGAAGTCTCACATTTGTTCAAAAGTGCTTGGGGCTAATGGTACTTGTCCCCCTGGATGGAGACTGCGTGACAAGGTCAAGAGCAGCGAGCTGCATAAAGATTGAGTATTACACTTTCGCATTATCTTGGCTGAGCATTGCAAGCTTGCATGAAAGCTATCTGCGTAATGGAAAATCTTGCCGTTAGTCATTTCTCATGGCTTAGGCCCTCTGGCAGTGCTGCATTGGTCTGACTTAGAACATGCTTTGTTGTTCATTGCCTTGGACATGAATGTGATCAGTACGGTCCCAGTCACAGCTAGCTGTCTGGAGAGCGAGAGACAGCATATCTACAGGTATGTACACAATGCAGTAGACAGCAAGCCAATGTACATGTATATGCAGAGAGTGTGTGTGTGTGTGTGTGTGTGTGTGTGTGTGTGTGTGTGTGTGTGTGTGTGTGTGTGTGTGTGTGTGTGTGTGTGTGTGTGTGTGTGTGTGTGTGTGTGTGTGTGTGTGTGTGTGTGTGTGTGTGTGCAGGTTGCCCTGCCCTGCTGCAGAGCGCATTGTCTCGGCTGCGGTCGCTGCTGCAAGTCATCCCGTGGTTTCGACCTGCATAGCTGTGCTAATTTCCTGTCCGAGAAGTAGAGCGGTGTTTCTGGATCCAATGCTGAACTCAGTGCTGTCGACCCCTGCACAGGGGACACGTGACCATTTGATGGCAGTGTTACCAAGGACCAAGGTGTGTGTGTGTGTGTATGTGTGTATGTGTGTGTGTGTGTATGTATGTGTGTGTGTGTGTGTGTGTGTGTGTGTGTGTGTGTGTGTGTGTGTGTGTGTGTGTGTGTGTGTGTGTGTGTGTGTGTGTCTTTCTTCTCTTTCTCAGACTCCTCCTGACTTTTCTTTCATTCTCCTGGGTGGTTACCAACAGCCAGTGCATGCCGGAGTATGTGGTGTGATGTGTGTGCGGGGAAAAAAAATGAAAAAGACCAAAAAGTAGGGATTCACTGGCCAGAAAAAGCCACTTCATAGCTGTGTGGTGTAGACCAGGCTGAATAGTGGCGGTCAATTCTTCAGCCTTGCAATCTGTTGAATAGTGCAATCCCAGCACAAGCTGCTATGGCTTCTGCTGTAGCATCGCTATCATCGCCTCCGGCGATGGGTGTCTAATGGTCCAATGGTGTGTGTGTGTGTGTGTGTGTGTGTGTGTGTGTGTGTGTGTGTGTGTGTGTATGTGTGTGTATGTGTGTGAGGGGGGGGGGGGGGGGGGTACATGGACATGCGGACATAAGCAAGCAAACACAGGGAGGCCACTACTAAAGAGCACAGTGCTAGGCTAACACGCACCACATCTTTCTTCTCCGCACGTAGCTCTGTCAAGCGCGATTCTGCCAGCAACAAGAACAGCACACAACTTATTACTATACACACATACACACATATACACACATACACACACACACACCAGAGGGGTCCAGAGGGTTACTAGTCTGGAATGTCTTATTCCCAAGTTTCATGCCATGATGCATTCATCCGGAGCCAGTATGCTTGTCAAGTTGACCAGAGAGCATACCGGGGACTACATGACCATCCTACACAGATGTGTATATACTACACATGTATATCACACATCAGACATTATTGATTGCGTACACAAGAGCAAATCTGTCGGCGAAGAGGAGAGAAAATTTCATTTCACGGAAAGCAAATGCCAGGGCCGCAGGTGCACGCAGAGGACACCACAGTTCTGGCCAGCACCTGGGCAAACCTGATCCTGTGTTTTCGCTTCTTTGCCAGATTAGCAGGGGTGCTTACCACATGCGTTTGCTCGTCGTCCAAACAGCCACTTTAAGACCAACCGTAACAACCATATTCTGCAAGCACACGTGCAATCAGCAAATACAAAACGTCATGTACAGTCAAATCATACTCATCAAGTCCATACAGCCTGAAGTTTCAACATTGTAAATCCTGAAATATTCGTACAAGAAAGTTTCGTACTCGCAGCCTCTAGAGCACTTCCAGGGGCGTAGCAGCCGCTCCGGCCGGTCCGGCTTTGGCCGGACCACTTTTTCGCTCGACCACGTTTTTTTGAAGGCCCTGCAAGGCTGCATGGCCTACACCAGGAAGTCGTAGGGGGTTGCTGAGAGTTTTGTACACCTATTCAATGGTAGATGAGATAACAGGCTTTGAATGCTGTCAATAGTTGTCTTCTTGGAAAAAGTAAAACAATGCCAAAAGTGCCCAGAATACAGGATTTTGCACCCTAATTTCCAAAAAATTACGGGGGGATTCCCCCGGACCCCCCCCCCCCCCCCCGGGCCGGACCACCGCCAACGGCGGTGCTACGCGCCTGACTTCAGATGCACAACAGTTACTGCAGCCCTGATCCTGGAAGTATAGCATATGTATGTTCTAATGGAGTGTGCCGTGTGCTACATGTGTTTCCACAGAGAGCCCAGACTTGGCCTTGGTCAAACATACAGGGCAGGATCCACATGCTACAGCCAGTTGTATATCCACACAGGCCAACCCTCCCGGTTTAGCCGGGAAAATCCCGGGAAATCAACAATACTCCCGGGGATTTCGAGCAAACGCCTGGAAAAGTCACACTTTTGTCTGGTCCAGGTTTTTCCTGAAAACTCCAGGGACTCGCCGTCAATGTCCCGGTTTTTTCAAAAAAATATGTACGATACACACTCGCACCTCAAACTGTGCACGGCACTTTCAAGACCTGACCAGCCTAGCCTGCATGATCTGCACCAGGGAGTACTAGAAAACCATTTTACTTTTTAGTACTCCCTGATCTTATCGAACTGCACTGCAGACTCCAGAGTCCATAGCAGGGAGTCGTCAAAATACCGGTATTTGACGACTGCGGACTCCCTGGTCCAGAGTCGGTGAACTGCGGATTACCGTATTATCTCTAATATAAGCACAGTCTCCAATAATAGCACGTCTCCAATAATAGAACACCTTGGGGCGGCATTCAAAAAATAAAGTGCTCGGTCTCCATTATAAGCACACTGTGTAAATTCATTATCTGTACCGGCGAAAACCCCCTGAAATGTGTGTGTCTGACATGAATTTGGCATGGCAACATGCCTCTGAAATGAGGTTGAAATAATAATGGAACAGTCTCCAATAAAGGAACGTCTCCATTAATAGCACGGGGCGGAGGTACATTGAAAAAATAAAGGATCGTGCTTATATTAGAGATAATACGGTATTCGTCCTGTGGCGTGCTGGGCATTTTTTTTGCGGGGAAAGCTCTTTTCACATGTTTTTGTCAAATCCAAGGGATTGTGAGAGAAATCCAGGGATTCTGAATGGCTTGTCAAGGGATTGAGATTATTGTGGTTGGTCAGTATGACGTACAGTCAACTTCGCTTATAACGACACTCGGCGGGGCATCAGAAAAGTGTCCTTATTCGCGAAGTGTCGTTATATCCGAAGTCTCATTATATGTGTCACAGTTGGATGGGACTTTGCTCCGGGCATGAAAATTATGTCGTTATTCGCGAATTGTCGTTATATCCGCAGTCGTTATTGGCGAAGTTGACTGTACATCTCGTATTACGGTACATTTACATGAAGCCGTAAAAAATCCAAAAGCACAGAGCATAACTCAGTGTGTACTGAACTCACAGAACCAATGATCCCACGCAGACTCCAACATGTACTAAGTCCTTAGGTACTCCAACATAGAACACGTAACCTCCCACCAGCGCCACGTAAATGGTCAGCGATAGAAACGTGAAGAGAGCGAGGAGACGATGCTGTCGATGCAGAGCATTCTGCTGGCCTTCTAGTGAGGTTATTTCCTTGGTCAGACTGGCTAGTAACTCTGGAAAGGAGTCCTTGCCCTAAAGTTGTGACAAAAACCCGTAAGATCAAAGTCAGATTCAAATAATTCAAATCAGAAACTTGCATGGCAGAACTATTACTTACTTTCTTTCTGCTAAATATTCCTCCCATTTTTTCGCGAATGCCGAGACCCACAGAAATACAGGAGCTCAGGCTGAAGTGTATCCTAGAAAACACTTCCTAGCTTTCCAGCGCCTGCTGCATCGCGGGGCGACAACAAGGGAGACGAAGCCAAGTAACGTAAATATTTTGTAGTTTGCCTTTGAGTTTGAGTCAAGCCAGCCAGCTGCAGCACCGGTGGTTGTTCATTATTATTTTTTCATAATTGGGGAAATTCCCGGAGTGTTCGTCATGATTTCGAGGTTTGCGATGTCACCGTACAACTTCTGACATCAGTATGGGGCTCCGTCACGTCATATCCGAGTGTTCGAAACAAAATTTTGAGTCGAGATTTTGCTTTTCCTCGTGACAGAGAAGTGTTCTACTCCTAGGTTCTTCACTCCCATCGAGTTTGTAGAGGAACACGACCAGAGACAGCAAAGCTCTTTGCTCTATGTGTGTAGTCTCGGGGCTTTCTGTTGCTTGCTTGGTGCGTGCACACCGCTTTGGCCTTTCCTGACAGCTCAAGTTCAAGATGGGCTTCCCTGCTGGCCTCTTGTCTGCGGCATGGATTTGCTTCGTTGTGGCAATATTGGTAAGTGCAGGGTTAGCTGAAGCAGTATGAGTCACGTGCATTTCCCAACGTCGCATGTGGGTGCACTGCACACACAGACACGCACAGCCACCCACAGACAGACAGACAGACAGACACGCATACACACACACACACACACACACACACACACACACACACACACACACACACACACACACACACACACACACACACACACACACACTTACTTGTACTTGCTCACTGCCAAAACTGGTCACGTGGGTCTCCCCAGGAGAGGGGAGAGAGACTCAAAAGGAATCTTCGAAAGATGACTCAATTGGCCATTGAACCACCCAGCGGCCGACACCCCCTGAAATTCCCAAACTAGGGTGGACTTGAAAGTTGAAATGATCCCACTTATGGGCTCACCACACCTCAGTAAGTGGGTGAGAACAAGGTGCAGAAAAAGGATTGACGGCATCAGGGTATCCGTCCCGGGATCCAACTGCAGGTACCCCTGCCCCCAGTGAAGGTAATACTTGGTACTAGTGTGGGTGGCTAAATCAGAGTGGATCTGATATAAGCTTCACTAGCACCATTCATTGATTACACAAGAGTTAATCTAGCCAGAAGCAGTTCATGGTTAACAGGTATGTATACTTCAAATAGAAAGTATATGAACCCTGAAACCAACAAAGGTGGTAGGTACAACAATACACCTTCAAGCAGCTGAGCCCGTTGGCACCAGGCCCAACACTGTCTGGCATAAGTGTACCCACCAACCGAACTAGCTGGCACACACACACACACACACACACACACACACACACACACACACACACACATGCATACACACACACACACACGTACATGCATACATATGCACACACATGCACACACACACACACGTGCATACTTGTATTTGTACTTGCTCACTGCATGCTATAAACTGGTCATGTGGGTCTCACCGGGGAGGGGAGGGAGATTCTAATCTCGGATAGATTACACAATAGGCTATTGAACCACCCAATGGCTGCCACCCTCTGAAATGCACTCCAGACTCTGAATGGACTTGGAAATAGTCCCACTTTCGGGCTCACCACACCACACTAAGTGGGTGAGGACAACGTGTAGAAAATGGGTTAAGGGCATCAAGATATCCGTCCTGGGCTCCAACTGCATTTACCGCTGCCCCCGGTGAAGGCTCACGGCAACAGACCCAACCACTACCTGGTACAAGTGCACCAATCAAACTAGCTGACACCCAACACCCGCACACGCATGCTTTCACTGACACCCCCCCCCCCCCCCCTCCGTCTCTCTCTCTCTCTCTCTCTCCCCCCCCCCCCCCCCACTGTCCTCCATTGGCTCTTGCACACACCCAACGGGATTTTCCCATGTAATGTTTGAACGGACTTGTTTGCCTCTTGGTTGGCTCTCTCTTGTTTACAGCTGTGCTTCTTCGTGGCAGTGTTCTTTGTCCGTCGCTACCAGAAGAAAGCCTACTCTGAGCGGCCAGTCACTGTCATTGCAGTGTTGTCAATGTTCATTGTGCTACTCACCATGGCTCTAGTACCGGTTGATGTCTATATAGTCTCCTCCATGAAAGATGACTCCGGAAACTACAAGGTACTGCAGAATTCAACTTTTTTCTATTTCCAGGGCCGGTACGGCCATGGCCGTACCAACTTCCCAAATAGTTGGTCCACGTGGAACGTCCAAAATCGGGGAGAAAAAGTTTCGAAGTATGATTTTGTACAGGGAGTCGCCCAGAGTGCAGGATTTGCCGTCTAAATTCCAAAACATTATGGGGGACGACCCCCAGGCCCCCCTTAAAGATTTAAAGATGGCCCTTCGGCCGCGCCGCACCGCGGAAGCTGTCTCCGGCCCTGATTTCCGATTGCTCGGATTGACTGACAGGTTTAGAAAATGTCTTATACTTCAAGTATCATGATACATGTGCCTTTGTTATCTTGTGTTTGAATGTGGGCTGTGGGGACTTACAAGACTGGATTGTATATCCCGAGGCACATGTGAGCTGCACTGGCAGCAGATTTGGTATGTGAATGGCATGTAATGTGAATGGACTCTGGGTGCGTGTGTGCGCCGGAACATGCATATGCATGCGTGTGCGCGTGCGCGTGTGTATGTGTGTCCTTTGCTGTCAGGAATGGGCCAGCTCGACAGAGCAACGCGAGGAAATCACCAACGCTGTTCTTTACGGTTACTATGGTGAGGAGTCTAGTTTTAAAATGTGCTGTGTTCGTTCACCGCATTCCCCTTCTCTCAATATCAATATCGGGGCTCGGGCAATAGGCAGTCGAACTTAAACTTTGTCAGACTCAGACAATAGGCAGTCGAACTTACACTTTGTCAGACTCAGGCTGTCTCCTACTCGGACTCTCTCAAAAGGCACTAGGATTATAGCAAAGTTAGTTTCAACTTGAGGTTACTGATACATGTATCGCTGTCAGTATTAGCCCAATGCTCACCTTATCTTGTGCTGATCATTCAGGAGAAGTCGAAGTCCTGGGTGATAGCATGCTGTTACACTATGGCTTAAGTCTTCGCTGCCAACTGTCTACCGTACATCTAGTGTAATTGGTGCTTGTTACATCCGTCCGTCCCCTACAGTCCACTACGTGCACTGCTAGTACTTCTATTTTTTGTACGCGTGTGTGTGGGTGTGGGTGCCTGGGTGCTCTCTGCAGCTCTGTATGGCCTCATTACGCTGTTTGCTTTCATCCTGCTGCCGTTCGCCTACTTCTACTATGAGGAAGGTGGTGATGAGGAGAGCACACCACGAGAGGTGAGCTACGTCATGTCAACTGTGTGGAGTTCAGCACTGGAGGACATGCCTGCATAACTGCTATCACAGTCATCTTCTTGTGCAGCGATGACTTACTCAGGAGGGCCCAGTACTAGTGTACTTTCACTAAGTAACCAAACCGTGCTTGGCTGTGGGTCGAATGTGAATGAACAGAGGCAGTATGAAGAAGAAGCGCAAAAGAGATGTGCTGAGATGCGTGTGGTGTGTGCATGTGCTCGTGTGTGTGTGTGCGTGCGTGTGTGTGTGTGTGTGTGTGGCATTTTGCTTGTGTGTGTATGTGCATTGCAGAAAGCCTGCACAGGAGTCAAGTACACACTCGGCTTTGTGTTTGTTTGTGCTGTTCTTCTATTGGTTGGGTAAGTGTTTGGTAGAAGTTACCCAGTACGGGGAAAAGGTTTGTTTTGTCTGTAATCATGCTGCGCTGCGGAGTCTCAAGTTTATTTTCATTGATTTATTAGGTATTTAGACAACATCTGGCACTTCAAAAGACGGCCAATTAATCAGATGAGATGAAGGGTGAGAGCCAGGCATGGCAAAATGGATTATACAGAGCTCGAGGGAGAGGACAGAGAGAAGTTTATATCCAGGAAGTTCATGGCTTTCTCGTTGTTCCACTCTTTGTGCATTCACCTGTACTCATTCTTTTTGTTTTCTGCCTTTCTCTCTTTGTCTGTTTGTGTGGTGGTGGTGCTGCTGCTGCTGGCTGTCTCCCTTCCGGCTCTTGTCATCTTATCTAGGGGCCTGGTACCATTCAGCAACGGCACCAGCGACACCAACAGCACCGACTTTGAGAAGAAGATTGTAAACTTGGCGCAGGACCTGAAGAGCACAGGTATGGTGCATGCATTGCAAGTTCGCCCGGCTGCCCTTTAGAATCATCAGTGCCTTCCAGGAGTGGAGACATATTTCTTTGTGGGCTTTGACTGGTTGCTAAGTCCTCACACTGACACTGCTGTCGAAGACAGAGGAAATTTAATAAGACACGTTGTCTGGCCAGTTTCTGAGATCATCGAGACGTATTTTTGACAAGGATCATACGATTATTGCAATGAAAAATATCAGGTCAGACCGTCTGGCCAAGCGAGCGGAAGCGATGCTTAAAGCACAGCATAAAGACTGCCAATCAGCACCCCCCTATTCTCTCTCTATCTATCTATCTATCTGTCTATCTCTGTCTCTCTCTCTCTCTTGCCAATTTCTTGATGTGACGCCACAGTGACGGTATTGTTTATCTGTGTTCAGGCCTGGAGAACTCCCTGTCATTCGTCATCAGTGTGTTGACTATGTTTGGTACACTGTATGCAGTGCTCTACACAGTAAGTGCCAGCTGACCTTCTATCCAGCTCGTTGTGCATGAACTTTATCGCCTGAGCTCTGATCCTTGAGTGAAGACCTGCCCAGCGTTTGCCTTGATTGGCCAGACCGCAGGTGTGGCCGCCAGTTGATGACCTGATACTCTCATTGGTTCATGCACAATGTTGCATTGCGTATGCTGGCATCAAACACTCAAAGTCCAAGAGCAACCTAGCAGTGCACTTGCCATAGACCATTCACAGCTGTTGGTAGATGTCACTGCATGATCGGATTTTTGGTAGTGCTGGTAGTGCTGAAAGTTATTTCTTGTTACTTTTGTAATCATCTGCAATCTTACTGTATGCTGAGTACCTGTCTCTCTCTTTCACTGCTGTTTGTCTCCAGTCGTATGGATTGGCTTCTGTTCCCATTGGCATGATCCGTGGATTTTCATCAGCCAAGGTACGAGATCTTTTAAAAATTACCTCTCTCTCGCTCTCTCTCTCTCTCTCTCTCACACACACACACACACACACACACACACACACACACACACACACACACACACACACACACACACACACACACACACACACACACACACTCACACACTTGTTGCTCACTGCCAAAACTGGTCACGTGGGTCTCTCCGGGAGAGAGGAGAGAGACTCAAAAGGAATCTTGGAAAGATGACTCAATTGGCTATTGAACCGCCCAACGGCCGACACCCCCTGAAATCCCCAAAACTCTGGGTGGACTTGAAAATGATCCCACTTATAGGCTCACCACACCTCAGTAAGTGGGTGAGGACAAGGTGCAGAAAAAGGATTGACGGCATCAGGGTATCCGTCCTGGGATCCAACTACAGCCACCTCTGCCCCCAGTGAAGGTAATACTTGCTACTAGTGTGAGTGGCTAAATCAGAGTGGATCTGATACAAGCTTCACTAGCACCATGATTACACAAGAGTTAATCTAGCCAGAAGTAGTCCATGGTTAACAGGTCTGTATACTTCAAATAGAAAGTATATGAACCCTGAAACCAACAAAGGTGGTAGGTACAACATTACACCTTCAAGCAGCCGAGCCCGTTGGCAACAGACCCAAGACTATCCGGCATAAGTGTACCCACCAACCGAACTAGCTGGCACCCCCCCCCCCCCCCACACACACACATACTGCCTCTCTCTTTCTGTCTTTCACCTTCCCTCTTAGATTCGCACTTCATTATTATATAACAGAGAACAGAGAACCTTGAGTACATACCTGTGAAGGCAAGCAAGCAAAGCAACTGTAGCTCTACAATGAGTGAAGAATCTATCTTTTCTTTGCTGCAGTCGGAATCCGTGCAAGTTCGAAAGCGTCACACTGCTGCCTCAGAGCGATCTCGAGCAGCACGTGCACGGGTAAGGGTGGTGTTCGCCATGCGTCTTGCTGTGCTCTGCATTGTTTGTCATGCGTCTTGCTGTGTTCTGGATTGTGGTTACCATCGCTGAACAATTTCAATGAGAGCCCACCCATGATGTATCCCTTTATACGTACCAGATGTCAAATATAGCTTCAACAACTACCTATACCAACACCAGCTGCTCCCCCCTCCCCTTATGTGCAGTGCCATTTGTGTGTGTGTGTGTGTGTGTGTGTGTGTGTGTGCACGTGTGTGAGTGGGTGTATGTGTGTGTGTGTGTGTGTGTGTGTGTGTGTGTGCATGTGTGTGTGTGTGTGTCCTTGCTATTACATGTACTGTGAGCTTATTAGTCACTAATACATTGTCATGTATGCTCTTCTACCGTTCTGGTTCAACACAGAATCAGGTGCGACCCAGTGGTTCGTCATACAAAGAGCGTCGCCAGATGCGCCAGATAGAGGAAGAGGAGAAGTATGTACACGTGTGTGTGTGTGTGTGTGTGTGTGTGTGTGTGTGTGTGTGTGTGTGTGTGTGTGTGTGTGTGTGTGTGTGTGTGTGTGTGCTTGTGCACGTGCGTGTGTGTGTGTGTTAACTGATGTTGGTTGGGTTTGTATTAGTGATCACCATGGCACAGGCGTTGCCATGGTGTATCATTGTAACATGCTGTCATCGTCAAAACATCTTAACCTATCAAGCAAGGCTTGCATATACTGGATCTAGTCAAGTAGAGTGTGTGACTTGTGTATCTATGTACTAGCATGTTTTGGCATGTAATGTTATGCTCGGTTGCATACCAATGGACAAGTTTCAAATTCTTGCTGTGTTGCTTGAGCTGCATGCATTGGTTTTTCTCCTGTTCTGTTGTGCTTTCCAGACTGCTCGGCGATCGTCTGCAGAAGCTAGAGGGTGTAGTCTCAAGCAAGTGGCAATGTTGTTTGCAGGCAATGAAGCCCTTCATGGTACGACGTGTGTGTGCTGCTTGTGTAGGTGTGTTTAGGTTGGTGGTGGGGGGGGGGGGGCAAGATCTACTTGTATGACCATTGTGTTTTCTTATGTGAAGTTTTGCGCACTGTTCGACTATCGGGTCCATTGCACTACTGTCTTTGTCTTATCTAGGTGTGGGCACAACTACAAATAAACAACTGTGCGTATGGGCCAGTGCACTGCTTGAAATGTGGTTTAGATTTTCTCCAGGACGCAATTAAAGCCGATGTAATGAAGACAATATGCCGTTCAGCCGGCCCTCGGAAATGATATCACAGTTGCATCCAATTTTGCTTACATACTCTGCGTTCAAACCGTTATGTCTTTTTTCACTGTTCCTTCAGACTATATTTGGCATCCTCTTCCTTCTGTTTTCTACCTTCCTGGTCGTCACGCTGTTTATCAACAGGTTAGTCGCTGGGCCTGCTTTCACTTTGAAATCCAGCCCCTGGATCTTGGCTCTTTCATGGGTTGGATTTTACCTGCCACCGCTGCATACATATACAGCGGTGCCAGTTGAAATCCAGCCTCTGGATCTCGGCTCTGCAGGCTTGCAGAGGTTGGATTTTACCTAGCATCATGGACCGCTGGTCAGATTTAGGCTGTTGGTGTATTTTGCTATTTTTCAGATCTCTCACGATAAACCCGTTTTGCCAGTGTTTGGAAGACACCCTGATTAGAAAGTTTGGCTTTTCTTTGGTGCATCTTTGCTATTGACTTTCTGCTTGTGTGTTTGGATGTGTGTGTGTGTGTGTGTGTGTGTGTGTGTGTGCGTGTGTGCGTGTGTGTGTGTGTGTGTGTGTGCGTGAGTGCATGCGTGTCTATGTGTGTGTGTGTGTGTGTGTGTGTGTGTGTGTGTGTGTGTGTGTGTGTGTGTGTGTGTGTGTGTGTGTGTGTGTGTGTGTGTGTGTGTGTGTGTGTGTGTGTGTGTGTGTGTGTGTGTGTGTGTGTGTGTGTGTGTGTGTGTGTGTGTGTGTGTGTGTGTGTGTGTGTGTGTGTGTGTGTGTGTGTGTGTGTGTGTGTGTGTGTGTGTGTGTGTGTGTGTGTGTGTGTGTGTGTGTGTGTGTGTGTGTGTGTGTGTGTGTGTGTGTGTGTGTGTGTGTGTGTGTGTGTGTGTGTGTGTGTGTGTGTGTGTGTGTGTGTGTGTGTGTGTGTGTGTGTGTGTGTGTGTGTGTGTGTGTGTGTGTGTGTGTGTGTGTGTGTGTGTGTGTGTGTGTGTGTGTGTGTGTGTGTGTGTGTGTGTGTGTGTGTGTGTGTGTGTGTGTGTGTGTGTGTGTGTGTGTGTGTGTGTGTGCTTTCGCATGCGCTGCGTCCACTGTCCCGTTCCTTAATGCCGGTGCGCGCAGCCTGGATCGTATCCTCCACTCGGTTGGCTACAAGCTAGGGTTTGCGCTGGAAAAGCCCAGGATCACCAATCCGGTGGATCAAGCCTTCATCGTCTTCTCTGAAGTATGTGTGCTAGATGATATCAAGAGTACATAACCCCAAGAGTGTGCAACTGCCTGCACAACCTCTATGCAGTGCTGCGACTGCAGAACTTCACATCACGTGACATGGTTCAAAAGGTTACACTGGCACACAGTGCAAAGTGACCACAAGAGAGTTGTACCCAAAGCTGGGCTGCGTACAACCCTGTATCTATCATGCACAGAGTGCAAATACTGCGTATGGGTTCATCACGTGATGTGAAGTTCTGCCGTCGCAGACCTTATAGCTGGTGTTGCACACTCTTGGGGCTTATGTACTCTTGATAGCATGCAAGTCCTCACATGGCAACTACGGTGCTGTCGGGCGCCGAAGAACCAACAGGCTAGAATTTCACCAAGTACCGTACTCCTGTATGTACAGGATGTCTCAACTCTCAACTACCTACTTTAGTCAGTACATGAAAAATAGGAACGACTTAGGCTACGGCTCGTGAGCGGGCGTGCGTTCCTGTGCTCATAGCAAAATGACTACAGTTTATAGAAAGCGAGACTTGCAAGTATAGCGGCCAGTGCAAGGGAATCCTGTGCGCAGCACTGCCAAGACGACATGTGTTGGCTTTGCCACAGTGCAGTCCTCACGGCTTGTGTTGTATCCCTCCAATACAGCTGCACTGTCTTGATGTACCCACACATTCATATCTCTCTTATCCGGCAGGCAGTCCGGGACCGGCCACTGCTCATAACTTTGAAATGTCCCGAACTCTGAATCACAGTGACATATGTTTCGACGCGGAAGGGCCAGAGATCTGGCATGTGACATAGTATTTCCACAAAACTTGCCAAAAGAGTAGTAATATTTCTACTAGAACTCACCCACAGGGTGCCCGGTAGACCAAGTTGCCGGTAACTAACTTCTAGGTTCGGATAAGAGAGATACCGTATTTTTCCGGTTGTAAGTCGACCTTTTACGACTTAAAATAGAAGGAGAAAGGCTGGGGGTCGACTTACAACCGGGATTCGACTTATAACCGGGAACTATCAGTATCTTACAAAAAATGACCTGCACTGCATGCACGAGTGCACCATGTTTACACATTTTTGCCAGTTTATTGGCCTTTTTCAAGGATTGGGACGTTATATCCTCCAATAAGGAATGTTTACAAGATTTGTTGATGTGTTAGTAGCAGGAGGTGGTTAGTAGTGCTTCTTTGGGTGAAAACTTTAAAACGCAGAATTGAGACCTCCAGATAGGGGGGTCGACTTATAACCGGGGTCGACTTACAACCGGTAAAATACGGTACGAGTGTACAGTGAAACCTGTCTAAGACAACCACCGCTCAAGGGGCCTTCAAATCCTGGTCTCTGTTACCAGGTGGTCTCCTTATCCAGGGGTCATTTGACTGGAAATAGCATCCCTTGGTCCTGGTTTTAGTGGTCTTCTAGGACAGGTGGTCGCCTTATCCGAGTGGTCGCCTTGACAGGCTTGACTGTAGTTCCATACCATTCTCTGCGTGTTGTTGCTCCTCTCTATGCTATACCTGCAGGTGTTCCCATTTGACTATATCGTCTTTGCACTGATTGTCTTGTATCTGGTGGTCTGCACTATCGGTGGTATGCGCCGTGTAGACATCTGGTGCTGCTGGATCAAGGTAGGGGAGTGTGCTGTCTATCTAGTTACGTGTGTGTGCGTGTGCGTGTGTGTGTGTGTGTGTGTGCGTGTGCGTGTGTGTGTGTGCGTGTGTGTGTGCATGTGTGGGTGTGTGGGTGTGTGTGTGTCATCATCGCTTTGTGGATTGTTGTTTCCAGCTGCGTGTAGCACTCAAGTCTCAAAGACAGGATCCCAGGAGTGGCTTGGTCTTTCTGGCGTGTGTGTGTGTGTGTATCCACAATGTCATGTTTGTGACTTGTATGTGTGTACATGTGTGTGTATGCGTGCGTGTATGCAAACGTACATGTGTGCCTGTGTGTGTGTGTGTGTGTTTGTGCTAAACAAGATGTACAAGGTGCGTCCCGGGCGCACTGAGCCACAGGGCGTGCTGATGGTGGCATTCCTGATGATGTTCTGCGTGCTCTACCTCAACACCATGGTCATGTCGCTGGCACCACAGTATGTCATGTTCGGCAGTCAGAAGGTCAGTCACTGTAACACTGTACTGTACACTGCACTGCAGTGCACTGCAGTGCACTGCAGTGCACTGCACTGCACTGCACTGCACTGCACTGTAACACACTAGTGACACTACACAGTACTACTGCTACTAGTGCACTGCTGGAAGAGAAATCCTATTACAGTCAGACCTCGCATAACCGCACACATCCGTTTTCCACAAAGGTATACGGATAGGCTAGGGAACCGGATAACCAAACACACATACTGCATGTACTCACGGCATATGCTGTAAATCGGTAACCAACGATGGAGGACCGGATAATCGAGGTCTGACTGTATTACTACTCTGCTCTTTAGACTCGGGTGGAGAGCCAAGGAAAAATATAGAATACAGAGCGCCAAAATTTACCACAATACGCCTGTTGCATGTTCTGACTCTCCAATATCTTGGTTATCCATGTACTACTGTTGGACACTGCAGAGAACTTGTAGGCCAGTGGTTTCGCTGCTCTTTGTCTGATTATATGCTATTCATACTACGTTACAATATGCGTCACGTTTTGGAATACGACGTACTGGCAGACGTCGTTTTCGTGCAGGTGCATTCACACAGGCACGTACACGCTGCTGGTACAGCTGTGTGTACAGCTTCTTTTGGACACAAACTGCTGGGAACGACAGAACGAAACTCGGCACAGGGGTCTGGATACGTCGTATACGTTTTCGTATCAGGGGTACGATTTTCCCGCCACGTTCCTTGTTGTCATGGCTATCCGGACGAAAACGTCACGTACGCAACGTTTTGGGCGTAGTGTGAATGGCCCATTAGTCCAGTGATTACAAGTTATAGTTTTTCCTCCAGTCCTGTGCAATGGACTGTGATCGTGTTCTTGGTTGTTTCATCGACCTACGAAAGCAGACCACAGAAACCACTCCAGTTGTGCATTTGTGTGTGCGTGCATGTGTTGTTTGTTGAACCGTCTTGAGTACAGTCGTGTACTTCACTGCTCTACTGTCTGAGCTGCACTCACATGTGTGTACGGCATTTAAAACTTGCAGCAGTGACTCAGGAGCGTCGGAAGGTATTTTAGCGTGGCACGGTCAGCCATCTGAAGCACAATTTACTCGGGGGGGGGGGGGGGGTGGTGGCTGAGCCGAAAATTTTGGAAATTTAGAGCCCAGGTCAGTGTTGACTCACGGTGTACCTGGGGCAACAAGTGGTATGGTCAATACCGTAGTGACCACACGGTGTCCGACGTCCCTGAGTGTAGGTACACATTTTATTGTGCGTGTGAGCTTATTGTCCTGTGATATTGCCCGTAGATTGTGTCAGGAATGCGGTAGGGTTGCTCACTGCCTGTCACTCTGCTAAATTGCTAATCCTGGCCTTGCTTTTCTTCTTCCCTGGCATGCAGTACAACTACACGTGCACGATGACCAACACAACGCAAAACGGCACGAATGCTACAGCGTTTGCTGCACCCGGCTACGCGTACGATCAAGTTGCTCTGCCCGTGCTGGACGATGGCAACAGCACGGGGAATGGTTCTTCCGATGGCAATGCCACTATGCATTATTATTGCAGTGGAACGTGTGATTTCTCTTTATCGGAGGATGTCGATGAAGGTACGTGTACATGCACGAACTCTACACATTTTCTGGGATTCAGGTTTTGCTTCTCTCAACTGCGTTTAGCAGCTCATCTGAGTTCAAGCAGTCGGCTAGTCATGTTTGACAATGGAGCGCCGAGTGTATCGCTGGTCATCATCACATTACTGTCATTAGGGACGGACCCTCCAGCATTAGGGACAGTCATGTATGGCCATGTGGCTGGTACCAGTACATTGCACTGTATCTTGAACTCTTGTCTCTTTATCACTACAGTAGGTGCTTGCCTGACTTGGCGAATTAGAATACAATGTTGCTAAGTCAGGCAAGCACTCACTGTAACCTGGCGTCTGCTAGTACCGGTATATGCACGTCGACTTACACGTTGACTTTCGTGGACTGTCTTGTGTGCTTTGCCAGGTGCGTGCATGCAGACCCGCATTACGCTGCTCTTGAATCGGTTCATCTACAAGATCTGGTTCTTCGGCGACGTGTACTACGGTGGAAATTGGCTGGTGGTGCTGGTGAGTCGACGGTCCTGGCCTAGTGCCATGTGCCTACTTGCAGTAGCTTTAGTTTACACTTAACGCGGCTCTTACGTAGTTCCGCGCAGACTCCGTGATCATTGTGCAAGTCCGGACTGTTTAAAAAATCGAAACCCGAGAACCTGTCACACTGGTCGACCAGCCATAACAGCACCAACACGCGGGACCCATGGTTTTGGTCATACACTACAAGTTGTTACCATACACAACACTGCAACCTGCAACCTGAGCGCAGTGAAGAAAGCACATGCAGTGACACCTGTCTAACGCCACCGCTCAATGGACCTTCAGAATGTTGTCTCTGCCATCAGGTGGTCGCCTTATCCAGGGCCAATTGACTGGAAATAGCATCCCTTAGTGCTGGTTGCTGTGGTCTTCTAGGACAGGTGGTCGCCTTATCTGAGTCTGAGTGGTCGCCTTGACAGGTTTTACTGTACACACCACTCCTTGGACATAGTCTTGGTTGTGTGACACTGCATAGAGTGGACATAGTCTTGGTTGTGTGACACTGCATAGAGTGGACATAGTCTTGGTTGTGTGACACTGCATAGAGTGGACATAGTCTTGGTTGTGTGACACTGCATAGAGTGGACATAGTCTTGGTTGTGTGACACTGCATAGAGTGGACATAGTCTTGGTTGTGTGACACTGCATAGAGTGGACATAGTCTTGGTTGTGTGACACTGCATAGAGTGGACATAGTCTTGGTTGTGTGACACTGCATAGAGTGGACATAGTCTTGGTTGTGTGACACTGCATAGAGTGGACATAGTCCTGGTTGTGTGACACTGCATAGAGTGGACATAGTCTTGGTTGTGTGACACTGCATAGAGTGGACATAGTCTTGGTTGTGTGACACTGCATAGAGTGGACATAGTCTTGGTTGTGTGACACTGCATAGAGTGGACATAGTCTTGGTTGTGTGACACTGCATAGAGTGAACATAGTCTTGGTTTTGTGACACTGCATAGAGTGAACATAGTCTTGGTTGTGTGACATTGCATAGAGTGGACATAGTCTTGGTTGTGTGACACTGCATAGAGTGGACATAACTTAGTCTTGGTTGTGTGACGCTGCATAGAGTGGACATAGTCTTGGTTATTATTATTATTATTGAATGTGACGCTGCCTAGTCTGGACATACAAGTAGTCTTGGTGACATGATTACTAGTTACTGCACACCAGAGAGTACTAGAAAACCGGTTTTTTACTACTCCCTGGTGGACACTGTGCACTGAAGTACGGGCTGGGTATGGCAGTAACTCACCATGGTACTTCTCAGTACAGTCAACCTTGCCAATAACCACCCTCGGTCGGGCAAGAGAAAAGTGTCGTTATTCACGAGGCTCAACGTGTGCAGTCAAGTAGTTACTTTGTCTGACGACATTGCCCTTGTTCACGAATTGTTCTTCTATCCAAGGTTGATATTCGCCAGTTTGACTGTACACTATGCACTGTAGAGTGTAGAGTGTAGAGTGTTGCCTTGTTTTCAGCACTGTTCTGTATGTTCTGCCTGCAGATGTTCTTCGTCGGGCTGCTGCACGCATGCATCAAGCAGCGCCGCTCAGCACTGGACGACTACAGAGACGTTGACTCCGATTCCTCAGACGACGACATTCTTGCCTGATTCTCGCGTGTCGTTTTCTTCGTTTTAAAAGTTGTGTGCTGAGAAGTTTCGCATTACTCTATTCGCCGTGTTGGCCTACTTTATTCCTTCACTTGATGGATACATGTTCTGTTACGCTGCTGTACTTTGTAGCAGTATTGGCGCTTTTTTCAATATGCTTTTCCCGGTTCATGTGTGACTGTACTGTACTGTGTACGAACCCCTGCATGTGTTTGATTCCTTGCTGTATGACATCACTGTAAGTTGACTTCTGTGCTTCGGTATTTTTAGCAGCTGCATGCTAGACTCTTTTCCCTGCTTGCATTCAGTGTTGCACACAGAATGTTCCTCGCTGTCTCGCAGATGTAATTTGTTGTGCATGATCTCAGCTACCGCTCACCGCCCCACGATCACGATAGTCTCCCCCGCTAATACACCATGCGGTACACCATGGCACACTGGTAGTGCTCACAAGACAAGGAGCTGGCTCTTTGGCACTTCTCATGACATTTTGACTCTAATTTTCATGACATTTTCATGAGCGATGAAGCGAAAGGTGTGCATGTGTGTGTGTGTGTGTGTGTGTGTGTGTGTGTGTGTGTGTGTAAATTGAAATGAAAAATAGGGATTCACTGGCCAGAAAAAGTCACTTCAAACAGCTGTGTGGTGGATACCAGGCTAAAAATAGTGGCGGTCAATTCATCAGCCTTGCAAGCTGTTGAATGGTGTAATCCCAGCACAAGTTGCTATGTCTAACATAGCTGTTCGCTATCATCGCTTCCGCGATGGGCATGTCTCAGGTCTGAGGTGTGTGTACGTGCGTGTGTGTGATACTACGCTATTTAGCTCTGCGATGATACAGCGGTTTTTCTTGTGGTTATGCCCCAGTGACTCATGTTCTTGCCTTTGCACATGCCAATAGATCTGCTGAAGCTGGCCACGATCGAGTGCACAGCCGGCTAGCCTCTGTACTGTATCTACCGTAATTGTTTAAAAAAATGTTTTTAATATATATTATTATAATTTGAAAATAATTAATTACTTGTTACTTTTCGCCAGCAAGCCTTATGACTCCTGTGATCCTCCTCGTATTTCCTTTCTCTTATGATATTAAGATTTGCACAGTGGTGATACACAACCCGGCCACAAGGCATCGCCACAAAATGAACACAGTTTAGATCAGACTGATGGACAATACCACGACCACCATGACCACTGCACTATAGAAGAAGTCAGAACGAAAAACCACGAACCAAAGCGTTCTCGTTGAGTCTCGAGCACCAGTAAAAGTGCCCAGATATGTACATGCTTTACGTTTCTCCACAGCAGCCTCCAGAGAACTTATTTTTACTACAACGGTAGTTCAGGTTCACTGCCGGAAAAAAATAAAAATTCGACAGCATGACTGCCCAACAGACTTGAACATTCGTGTTGATTATGATCTACAAGACTCACTGGTCAAAACCACCCAGTCAAATAAAAAACAAAGCGAACTGGATACCACCGGGTGAAGTGGCGCTCACCTGTAATCGCTGCGACTGGCGAGGTTGGGAGTGTTGGGATAGTTTGAGGTCGGGAATTCTGCTGTCTGTCGGCCTGTGTCGATCAGGCGTCCGCGCTAAGTTCGGTGTGGATATGGGCAGTACTGGTGATCCAGTGGTGTCCAGGTCTTTGAAGAGCAGGGAACTGGCCCAGGATGGAAACATAGCAGGCAAAACCTGCCGCATGGAACAGTAGCGGGATAGCGCTTGTGAATAGACGGCACACAGTAGCCCGACCGATATAACACGACCCACTTCTTTTTTTCTTTTCTTTCCCTTGCCCATTTCCTTTTTCCATGGCGAAAGATTGCTTACTGTTTTGTGGTTTCGTCACCGGCATCTAGGTAGATCTACACGCCTCAGGCTTTTTTACGCACTCTCTACACCACTTACATCCGCCCAATCACCCCCCCCCCCCTCTCACTGCTACCCAATCAGACAGGCTGGAACGATTCCAACGCCGTGCTGCGCGCCTTTGCGGCTTTGCTTGCGCATTTCCCTTTTCACCCCTAAGGAAAAGGCCCTAGCTAGCTTGCGCATGTCCCTTTTCACCCCTATCTAGCTGTATAGATCATTCTTCTCTCCTGCACAGACTAAACCTCCCCACTCTTTACAGCCGTCGCCATCTCAAGCATCTCAAGCACGCAATTCTTGCTCACAAAACCACCAACTTGTTTTCTACCCCTGAACCTACCACTTGAACTCAGGCACCGTCGCTCCTATCATCCGCCAACAACCCGTACTGACCGGCACAACGGCTCCCCATTTAGCATTGCCCTCGACCACTACAACCAATTGCCCAACGCACGAAATAACCATTGGCGCCCCAAGCTGAGTTTTTAAAGGATCTGCGACCAATCTTCTTGTAAAGAACAGCAGCAGCAGCAGCAGCAGCAGCAGCAGCAGCAGCAGCAGCAGCAGCAGCAGCAGCAGCAGCAGCAGCAGCAGCAGCAGCAGCAGCAGCAGCAGCAGCAGCAGCAGCAGCAGCAGCAGCAGCAAAAGCAGAAGCAGCAGCAGCAACAACACCATCCATGAAAGTATGATAATCAAAATAAAAACCGTGTTTACACATGCTGCAGTCACACACGCTGCGCCGGCACACACAGAAACGTTTTAAAAAACCAGATTAAAAACAACTACCGGCATATTGAAAGCACAGCGGCATGTACTTGCAGCACAGTGTGCAGATTGGGTAGGTGAGTGTGTACTTGGATAAAGCCGGAAATCTGAGAGTCAAAATAACGCCAACACGGACAGTACACGAAATTTGCCTGGGCCTGATTCGGACAAAAACAATCAGTAATCAAGACACGACACAATAGACACGACATAATATGATTGGGACAACCACACAAAAAGCCATACGTCCGTACGATGAACCGGGACATTTACACGTAACAACCCCCCCCCCCCCCCCCGACCATGCCTGCACCAGCTGTGCGCTGCACACGAGAAGACAAGTTAGATGGGTTGGACGAGACTCTTCTCCAGGGACCGACGGCCCGCAACCTGATACGTCATGTAGTAGTGAGCCAAGAACGAGTCCTCTCCAACCTACACCTGCTTAGAACATGAACAATACTGTGTGAGTAGAGGACTATAGGACTGTAGTTAGTGAATGCTCTGAAACCCGTACACAGTGATTCCAACGATGTACCGCGCGCCTGATAAATGCACTCCGCGAGAGCTCTCCAGGAGTACACGTACCGCCACGCCTGTCCCTGACGATCGCGCCAGGCACATCCTCTACCGATCCGCAAGCTGAAAGTGCAAGCGAACAAACGGCTGCTGATTGTCCAGTGGTTTCAAACACGTCGGGCAGAACGGGCTATTGTCGAAACGCTGAGGGTGACTGATCGAGCTCCACAACCTGATGGCCAAAGACAAGCAGTCAAAGCAACAATATACAGTAGGTCAACAGGAAAAGCACAAAAAAACCGTATAAATGCCAAGGCTGTCCCAGTGCTAGCATATCAATCCATTAACTTCAATCTAAGTTCAGACAAATGGGAAGGAGAGAAAAAGGACAAGAACAGTAGGCTTACATTGGACAAGTACAGCAGTATTCCAATATGCCCTGCAGCAATATTGCCCGTGCACTTCAAGTGCACCAGTACGCGTGGCAAGTACACGGCACTGTGTGTTTACTAAGGAGAACTTGGACACAGTGTACTAAAACTACCGGTGTACATGTGAAGATTGTGTTTAAGCAGGACTGGTCAGAACTTACTTTGCAGTTGAGTAGGACACGGAGTGACCGCATGGCACGAACATACACAGGGGCATGTCCGAGTTCACATAAATTCCAGGATCTCCGCAGAATCTGATTGGATACTGCCTGCTTTTCTGGACAGGAACGGATGGAATGGTAGAAGAGAATGCAAGTATCAGATATTGAGGCTTTTAATAATAGAAAGAGCACATAACATTCAATAGTTTGCAACTCCAACTATAGGATGTGCGATGGCATAACTTTGAATCACGTGGCGAACCCGTACACATATTTGCACTCTGTGCACTTGTACCAAGAGTATATAGGCTCCCAAGAGTTTGCAACTCTGCATATGGCCCATTATGGGGTCTCCCAACGGCAAAAACTCACATCACGTGTCTCAGGTACGTGCTAACCAAGGATAGCGTGCGCGCAATCCAAATATCTGCCATGATCATGCTGCGGATTTGCATACACGCAGTGAGTTTCTGTCAGAGAGTGGTTTTTTTCATTACTCCGCTGCTCGCTAAAAACGGGCTGGAAACATACAACTGCGACACTACACCGCGTGATGTGAGTTTTCGCCGTCGGCGAACCCCAAAGAATGGGTATCAGGAGTTGCACACTCTTGGGGGCTTATATACTCTTGCTTGTACTTGCTCACTGCCATGACTGGTCATGCGAGTCTCCACCGAAGAGGGGAGAGAGATTCAAAAGGAATCTTGAAAAGATGACTCAAATGGCTATTCGGAACCGCCCAACGGCCGACACGCCCTCAAATCCCCAAACTCTGGGTGGACTTGGAGATGATTCCACTTACGGGCTCACCATGCCTCAGTAAGTGGGCGAATTGAACAATGTCACCGGGATGTGAAGTTCTGCCCCCACAGCACTGGATAGAGGTTGTCCAGCGGGTAGTTGCACACTCTTGAAGGTCGTGTACTCTTTATATCAACTAGAGTGCTTTCCCGAGCATAAGTCGTACCCATATTTTTTGTCATGACACACAGACATTTTAATACCCTATTCTATTACTTTTAATTTGACCATCGTAGTATAAGCCGAGCTGACTTTTTCAGTGAATTACTAAAAGGTTTGTGCATGGCGGGGAGGGCCTTATGGCTTGTTAGTGCCCCACAGGTTAGCCTGAGGGTCGTAGGCCCGAGGGCTAACCTGAAGGGCACAAACAAACCATACGGCCCTCCCTGCCATCCACTAACTATTTTAGAACGAGGTTACATGCATTATTTCGCATGCGTTATGCTTGTGTACCCTTATTTTTTGTGGTTATTTCTTAAAGGGGAAGTATACCCTAAAATCAAATTTTCACCAGTTGTAGTCTTCGGGGTGCTGAGTCGAATGGTCTTGGTCCGAGGAAGCTGAGACGCTCCCTTCCTACTTGAATCCCAATCGAACTCGCGCACTTCCACCGAAACTGGGTGACTGCGCCCTACTAGATGGGGATTTGTATGCAAAATGTCACTAAAAGCGCCATTTCGTTCTTATAAAAGCACGGATGACCGCGATTGGCCCATATGTTGTAGTCTTTTGGACGCTGAGTCGACTGGTTTTGGTCCGAAAAGGCTGCGATGTAGCGTTCCTCCTTTATTCCCAATCGAACATGGTTGAACAAGCGGTCACGTGCTCCTGCGTACACCAGTCACCTGGTCACCGTGCCTGCAGGGTACAACTTACTAGCCTGTTTGACCTTTTTTGGGTGCACTCCTGTCACTCGAGTTGAACTCGAGTTGAACCTTGGTGTGAAATTTGTCGCCTGCTGGCGTGGTGACCAGGTGATTTGGGCACCCAGGAGCACGTGACCGCTTGTTCAACCATGTTCGATTGGGAATAAAGGAGGAACGCTGCATCGCAGCCTTTTCGGACCAAAACCAGTCGACTCAGCGTCCAAAAGACTACAACATATGGGCCAATCGCGGTCATCCGTGCTTTTATAAGAACGAAATGGCACTTTTAGTGACATTTTGCATACAAATCCCCATCTAGTAGGGCGCAGTCACCCAGTTTCGGTGGAAGTGCGCGAGTTCGATTGGGATTCAAGTAGGAAGGGAGCGTCGCAGCTTCCTCGGACCAAGGCCATTCGACTCAGCACCCAGAAGACTACAACTGGTGAAAATTTGATTTTAGGGTATACTTCCCCTTTAACAGTAAAATAGGCTTTAGCAGCACAATTTCAAGTCAGTTTTTAATAGAAAGAGACCCTACGTATCCAGGGTGGTCCAGCGAGACTGGATCAAGATCATGTTGATCCAAATACAAGCCATTCAAGCTTGCATAGCAACAGGTGTATCACCAAGATTTGCCATGCAATGGTTGTCAACATCGGTTAGTGAATTCAGTAATGGCCAATGTTTGGCCATTGCCAGGGTCAAAACATCGACTCCTCCCCAGGCGTCGCTTCTAGTATATACATGTAGCTATCACATGCTTTGTCCTCAGCTAAAAGTGCTGTCACTGGAGGTTGAAACCAGCGGCTATGGATCTTTTATACTCTATTTTACCGTAAAAATCGCTGCATGTGAAAGCTCTTACAATGTCACTTCCTAAAGAACTATCAGTCTCAATTTTGGAGGCGAACTGGACAGCACATTGCCAATGCAAAAAGAAATTTCATGTGACTTTGGCAGGCGCTGGCAATGAGATATTTTACCGATTTGTTAAGAAATGACGCAATGTTAAAAAATGACGAATCACCTCGTACTGGTGTCCTGGCCGAATTTCAAGTTGATGTCATTTTTATTATGATGCAAAGTGCTGTGCACGTATTATCAGACGCGGCATTCTAAACATCTGTGCTGGTCAAAGACCCATTCATCTTGTACACACTAGCTGAAGGAAACACTTGTGATGCATTGACACTCCGCACACATGTCGTAAATCACTGGTGCAAGGAGCATTGCGTCCAAATTCTGTCGGGATAGTAGGGTACGTGAGTTGCACACTCGGGGGGGGGGGGGGGGGGGGTTACTCTTGCTGCAACTCCCTTCCACTCACCTGCTTACAAAGTGGACACACGGTGTCCCATATGCTGAAGGCTAGATTCCCCGTCCAGCGCCCGGCACCCACCACATGGCCACACTTGGTAAAAGCAGCAGCCGTCTTGAGAGATATCTGGTCCAGCGCACTGGAACTGCTGTCAGATTTCCACCCCTAATACGACAAACACATCAAGTAACAATGAAGGAAGGTTATGGGGGTCAACAATCCCGAAAAATCCGTATGTCAAAACAAACTTTCTTTGCCAGTTGTTTCCGCCATTTTCCCGGCCAAATTCCACCAAATTCTCACCAGAAACTTCGATTGGCCGAACATTTTGTCTAGAAACAGCTGCCGACCACTTACAATTTTCAAATTAAAGTACAAAAGCAATTTTAAAGCATTCTAAAGACCAATCAGACGCGTTTGTTCCAGCTTTGTGCCGCGCACGTTCATACCAGCCCCTAGCTTCCATAACAACATGTGATTCTCTATGCAGTTTTCCCTTTAGCGTGCACACTGTTGACTCAGCAGTATTTAGGTTATACGTGTACATGCAATGGCCGGGGAACGCCCCCGCAATGCTTGTGGTGGCCAGACAACTCTAGAAAAACCCTGGAAACGAAACGGTTCACAAGTTACAACCCACAGAACGGATAATCTCAGGTTTCGACTTGTCCTGTTCACGACGTGAAGCCTCCCGGCGGCCGGCAAAGTCTGCAACACAAACAGTGCTGCTGCAGATAGCCCGGGGAGCTTACCAGTTGCAGCTCTGCGTAACGCACGTCAGCCTCGGTCACCTCTGTAGTGTCGATCTTTATGCTGTGCAGACCGATGGGGCAAATCGGGCGGCATAGTCGCACCGCACAGCACATGGCGGCCAGGACCTTGTTCGACTGCACATACAATATGTAGAATAGAGTGGAGATAAGAGACAGTAGTGGCCTAGCCGCAACACTAGACTAAACTAAAATGAGCAGGTTTGCAACTTTTCTTGGCACAGCTTGACGACGCCCAGTGCAACATAGGGTGAGAGGGGATTCCAGGGTGCCTAGAGAAGGAAAGAGCGGCATAACTATGCAATGCAAACAGTACAATGGTAGACCGCAGGACACACGCAAATGGTGTTGGGACTTGGATACAAGCTACGCAGCTCTAGTCATTCCAGAACGGGCAGAGTAGTTTGGCATGCAAATGATGACAAGACTGAGCTATCTAGTGCGCCCGTCCCATGAAAAAACGTACTCAGAATACGGTACTACAGTGGTCCCTCTATAATCCGGCACCATTTGTGCCACGAAAATCTGCTGGATTAGGGAGGGTGCTGGATTAACAAATCTGATTTACTGCTGCAATGTACATGAAGAGGACATGTTTGTTGTCCCTGCCCTTTTGGCACGTGTGTGCCCCTTTTGGCACGTTGGTGCGGACCGCGCGGTTGGAGATTATCGTACATGTTCTTGTTGTTGTGCGCATGCTTGCATGCTTATCGTGCGCATTCTGGTTGTTTTGTGTGCCTTCTTCCTGAGACTCTCCTTGGAGTAAGACGAAAACAATCTGTCCTCTGAGTGTGGCGTGCGTGTGATGTATAAGAGAGTAATCGGAAGGGCTATCGTGCGAGGGAATAAAACCCCCCGACGACAATTGGCGCCCAACGTGGGGCTCGAACCCACGACCCTGAGATTAAGAGTCTCATGCTCTACCGACTGAGAATTGTGCTGGTTTATCGAGGGTGCTGGATTATAAAGTGCCGGATTAGAGAGGGACGACTGTACTGTAGTGGAGAAATGGTGGTAGAAGCACACCTGGCAGAATGGCCGTAAAACATGCCTGCCCCACACAACGCCTTCCAAGCTGCAACGTTCTGGAAAAGAGCACTCCTTCTCTCGCCAGCTTAACTACAATACACACGTATAACCGTTAATCACTGCCGCCCAGCACGAGCGGTTTCGAAATCTTGGAAACCAAGCCGTCGGCCCGGACTAGTGAAAACGATAGACAAAGTAAAGGCAGAGCTCACTGTCTGATTACGTCCTTTCTTCTATTCGGCGGCTATCTGCCAGTCGCCGTGGGAGATACAGTAAACACATGTAATTTTAGGTGCATTCAAGTTTCGGTGCTAGGGACCTGCCAGGTTTCAGGTGTAATTTAGAACTAGGTGACCAGCGTTGCCGGCTTCACATACAGTGCATACTCTAGCGCCTTTTAGGTGTAATTTAAACTTAGGTGCCTGTTTTCTCTACCGAAATCACCGAAATTAAAGTTACACCGAAAATTACACGTTTTACAGTATGAAATGAAGACTACTTCCCACTATCCGATAACCTATAAGTAGTTTGTTTCTCCGTATAGCCTCTATTGTGAGACGATTTTCCCTGATGATAGTCTCAAGAAAATCGATTAGGAACAACCATTTTAGATACATGTATTCTCATTCATCATTTTGTAATGTCCGCTTCACTTATACTATTAATCGCATTTTAAAATAAAGTTTTACAGTATATCAGAGGAGGGTAAACAACGAGGAGTATAACGCAACATGTTTTCTGCTATCCGCTTCTCTGGGTATTTTATGTGAAAACTACTAATGTAAGCAGTTCACAGTGGAGTCCAGCTTCACCGTACAAGCACTTACGTAGTGGCACAACGTGACATACTAGATGGGAGGTGTCCTCTGTTTAAGTAGCGGCACAACATGACACAATAGTTAGGAGGTGTCCTCTGTGCAGTCATGTTACTGAAACCGTGACCCGAAATAAACAGCAGGGGAGCTCACAGGCTCTAAAGTACATTCATTGGTTTTAAATGTTTAATGTTGCGGCCACTCACCGGATGCCTGGACATTCCCGCTCGAGTGCGGTAGATTAGCATTGCGCCAAAGATGTCGATCAGCGTTCCGTCTCTCAAGACGTTGTCAGTCTCTCGACACTGCAATACAGAACACAACGGCAAGCAGAGGACACTGAAATAGCATTGTCCCGGGCAGTGCACATATGATACACATGCACATGCAACCGCGCACGCGCACGAGTCTTGGAAACATGGCTCGATTGGCTATTCAACCGCTAATATAGCAGTGAGTTAAAGGGGAAGTTAAGCCTAAAATCAAATTTTCACCAGTTGTAGTCTTCGGGGTGCTGAGTTGAATGGTCTTGGTTCGAGGAAGCTGAGACGCTCCATTCCTCCTTTATTCCCAATCGAACTCACGCACTTCCACCAAAATTGGGTGACTGCGCCCTACTAGAGGGGGATTTGTATGCAAAAATGTCACTAAAAGCGCCATTTCGTTCTTATAAAAGCACGGATGACCGTGATTGGCCCATATGTTGTAGTCTTTTGGACGCTGAGTCGACTGGTTTGGTCCGAGAATGCTGCGATGCAGCGTTCCTCCTTTATTCCCAATCAAACACTAGGTTGAACAAGCGGTCACGTGCTCCTACGTACACCAGTCACCTGGTCACCGTGCCTAGCCTAGCGCCTGCAGGGTACAACTTACAGCTTGTTTGACCTTTTTTGGGCGCACTCCTGTCCATCGAGTTGAACTCGAGTTGAACCTTGGTGTGAAAGTTGTCGCTTGCTGGCGCGGTGACCAGGTGACTTGGGTACGCAGGAGCACGTGACCGCTTGTTCAACCATGTTCGATTGGGAATAAAGGAGGAACGCTGCATCGCAGTATCCTCGGACCAAAACCAGTCGACTCAGCGTCCAAAAGACTACAACATATGGGCCAATCGCGGTCATCCGTGCTTTTATAAGAACGAAATGGCGCTTTTAGTGACTTTTGCATACAAATCCCCATCTAGTAGGGCGCAGTCACCCAGTTTCGGTGGAAGTGCGCGAGTTCGATTGGGAATAAAGGAGGAATGGAGCGTCTCGGCTTGATCGGACCAAGACCAAGACCAAGCAAAAAGGTCAATTTAGATAAGTGACGTACACTGTGCATTCAACTATGGTAGCATGCAGAAAATTCAGGGCTGCCTCATCAAAGTAATTGGGCACAACGGCACCGCTTAATATTGAAGTGTTGTAATATTACCACTCACCCGTTTACCGCAAGTGATCTCCACCTTATCGGCCGTGTCAGACTTGTAGGTTCGCATGCCGTAGGTTTTGCCCAACACGGATACCTCGGACCATTTTCTTTCTCCTTTCTCGTCCCTGGCAGGATGAGAAATGAACACTCCGTTTGTTGTCATGCCATCAGCAAATGGCGGTGTCCTCCACTGTGGTGCATGGTCCTGGTGGCACACACACACACACACACACACACACACACACACACACACACACACACACACGCGCGCGCGCGCTCACACACACAGCGGTGACAAAAGGAGAAACATCACAATCACGTCAGCAATATGGTTATCGTGGGCATGTGCATTACATCATGTAATCATGCTGTAGCAGCCACTACTAGTACTACGCGTAGTGTTATTAGTATTATAGGGTGGGTGCATATTATGGATTCACGCACTGAGTAGGTCAAGAAACACCTCTCCGCTTCCAAGTAATGCTGCAAACCCAAGACCAGGCATCAGACTCAGCTCGTAAATGATGGTGGAGGAGAGATCAGATCCACCGACCCGAGGCCAAATGCCGAAATCCCATTTTTTGCCGCATCCATGTTCCCCATGCGCCAGACTACAGTTTCCTCATATACTGCGGGCCGCAGCGCGGTTAGAACAATCTACCCGCTCCAAGGCAAATACTGGATCCTGACACCTGCCGTTTCTCGATCATGACCATAGTTTAACTCACAGGCTGTGCCTGCCTTTCGTGAAAATGCCACAGCATCAATCCATACAAGCTACCTGCAGTCTAAAATTAATGTTCGCATGTTTGCATCACATGACTCGTATACAGGTAGATATTTCTGCACATGTACTCTTAGATAGAGCTGTGGCAGCTCGGGAGAGTGTTGCTCGATACACATAGGTACAAAGAAGCGGGTAAACCAAACAAACGGTGTACTTCCAAGTAGAATGCGGAAGCAATCAATGAAGAGGCAGCACGTGTCTGGTGATCACTGCCGCATGTCTTAACCTTGGAGGCATCACAGTAAAGGGTTGATTTACCTTCTCTGTATGCATACATACATACACTCTGTAATATTTGAAAGATCAGTGATCGCCACAATAAATAAAGGGAGTTTCACATTGAGCGCACACGCGTGCACACGTATACACACACACACACATATACACATATACACACACACACACACACACACACACACACACACACACACGCACACACACACACACACACACACACACACACACACACACACACACACACACACACACACATCATAAGCAAAGGGTTAGGTATCCTTGAGCGCAATCATAGAGAAGGGAGGGATTACAAAGAACACTGCTCAAAGGACCACGGCTATGCTGCGCAATGTTGAGAACTTCAATCTCGCTCTTCATCGCTCGTTGCGGCAAAATACCCATAAAGACAAGTCGCTGACAATGAAAGTCAAAACACATGCTGTCTTACACCAATGAATATCCTGTTGTTGCTATCGAATCCGGCTGCAAATATCCGAGCAATGTGCGGTGGTTTGCGGCTGACTTGGATTCGCAATGCATATCGTGAAACTTTACTACCAGTAGCAACATGTCTTTGGTAGGACTCCTTGCTAGGGTGACTAATTGTGTCCAGAACTCGATAGTCGATTTGAGAACTCACTGATCGTCCAATCTGTGGTACATCCACAAACACACACACACACACACACACACACACACACACACACACAAACAAACACACACCGCACAGATATACACACACCACACATTTACATATGTACACGGAAGCCAAAGGTCCAAGGGAGGAAGCCGAAGGGATGACAACAAGTTATTGCAGTCCATTGAGCACAAGATGTGCAACCGGTACTCATTGATGCCTGCCAAGCCCACCAGAAAGAGTGGATGGATGAGGGGGAGGAGGAAGGGGGCGGGGTAGGAGAAGAAAAGATAGCCAGGAACTCCTCTCCGTTCCCAAGCCGGGAACTCACGGCGGCCTCCAACACCCGGAACAATCCATGATGGCAATTTGGTTGTGCAGGGCTAATTTGAAATTCAAACAGGCAATGTGCAGATAATACAATAGAGTTCTGACAATTCGAACATGATGTAATGCTCACAAAGGTCCTGCATATTTCAAACAGATTCCACGAACCGACTTCCGCCTGTACAACGTTCATACGATCGAGTTCGACAACTTGTCACTTTGTATTATTATTTATTATAAGCACTATCGCGATGTAAGCGGGGATGCCTACTTCACTTGTGCCATTCAGGATGATGATAAAGAGAAAGACAAACAGAAAGCTCAGAATCTTGAGGAACAATGCTGTAGAGCAGAATAGCTGTGATCGATTGGATGCACTACAGAAAGGTGAAAATTATTAGTTCATTGATAATAGCTGGTGAGTTGTCTCGTCATTTCTGAATATTCGGTCTGGGTCACTTTGTATACTCGTACTAAAGAAGCAGTGAAGGCCCTGAAAGTACACACGGAAATTCATGTTACCGTCCTACCTGAAACATATCGCAGTCTCGGTCATAGCCAAACAGGACCTCAGACTTATCCGTTTCACTGAAACAGACAGTGAGCGTGAATGGTTGTTTGCGACCCTGCAGAGAGGCATTGGTAGTCAAGAGCACACGTGAAATGCAAAGGGTGAGGCTTGTAACTAACCGTTATTTACTTATCTGCAACACTGGAATGGACAGTATAAAGTGAGCTCGGACAGCTTTCTCCTGGCCAATCTGGTTGAGGCCACTACAAAAGCTCGTACTAGTAGCCGCAATGGATTGAGATGTGCAAGTTTTGCAACGGAAATCCAACTTCTGCCTTCCCCGTTGCTTAGCGTGTCAGTGAGGACTGCCTGGCTCCGAGTATGGGAAACCTATTGTTAGTCATGCACTGTACCATTTACATCTGTTTCAACATGTACGCAATTCCTGCAGAAAGACAAATGCTAGACAATAGGTCTTGGCCTGATGAGGGTGGTTTACGATAGTGCCACGACACACAGAATAGTCACAGTGAAAATACTACTAATGCAAAGTTCAGAAACCCAGGGACCGAGCACTACTAGTCACCTCCTTGTGCTACCCCCCCCCCCCCCCCCCAATAAGCACTTTTGCGTACCGCACACTACGTGTTGTTCTGGATAATCACCGGTCTAAAGTTGTCAAACTGGAGCATCCAAGTCATCTTGATAAGTCTTAGGAGACTAGTCAGACCACCAGAGCTCCGTGCGGGGATACGATAATGGGGTTAGCAGGGCCGCAGCGGTGCTACGACTTGGTGACACCCTCTCCGCAACCCAGTATACAGATGCAGAGAACCATGCGCGCCCCCGGTCTTTTCGCCCCCCCCCCCCCCCCCCGGGTTCTCATATGACCATAGCAGGGACACAACACCACTGCTTCTTGCTCGGGCCAGAGTCTGCTCCGCTAGGCATCTGAATTAAACATGAATGAAAGGCAGCTGATCATTTTGCTACACACTGCCGTCCACATCCATGACACCCCTCCCCAGTCCCCACGTGACATGGAGATGCTCTAACAAGTACCCGGCGTTGCATCCACATTCTACCCAATAACAGGGAGCTGAACACACTTAAAATAATAATAATAATACCACAGCACGCGTACAAAGGCCAAAGAACAATGCATGAGAATACACTGAAATTAAGCCAAGTCCGCTTCTGTC